ACTGTATTTTACCTGATTGGATGCAGTTTATTTAGGGGTCGATGACATACTCTGCATGAACTTCACTTTAAAAGGTAAGTCAAGTATGCTCGTTCTTGTCTTAGTGGTGAGATTATTAGCATCTACTTATAAAAGTTGTCGGTCTAAAGAAACACTTCCATCCATCATGACATTTTCCAAAATTGTCAAATAATTTGAGTTAAACTGATTATAAGCATTGTCGAGGAGAAGATACGTTTCGGCGGAATCGTTATCAATGACTAGTCGCAAAGCAAGGGTCAGCTTAGCGAAATCAGTACGGTCATCCGGTGAAAATTTCCAGCATTGTAACATCAGGTTATAACTGCCAAAAACAAACGGGGTATTTAACAAATACTGCAACTTTGCCTACAGTAAAACTTTCGGAACTCCAAAGAAATAAGAAAACTTGAGGTAATTCTAGGCAGTTATTTAATACGCTATCAGTTTGTACCTACAAGTTTAGCACATCGTGAGCACGAATCACGATCAAAGATCAAAGAATGGGCAGCATGCACTTACATGGCACTAGGACAGAATTTTGGTTTTTCCAAGCGTAATCCGTTTTTCAGTGACGTTATAAATTCAGAGATGGACTGGCGCATAATGTCACTGTCGCCGTATGGAAGTTTACCCAGACTGAATGCTTCCCACATTACCACACCAAAAGACCATACGTCTGATTTGTTTGAAAATATCCTGTTGGCGATGGCTTCGGGTGGCATCCAACGCACTGGTAATGCTTCCTGTGGTGGAAATGGGTGACTGAAGTAACGACGACAAAAAGACAATCCTGCTAACCTTAGGACCAAAAGGAATGTCTTCGGTCCCGACTTGCGCCATTCCGAAGTCACCAATTTTCACCACGTTTCTATCACAAATTAAAACATTGCGAGCCGCGAGATCTCTGTGGATAATAGATTTTGTGCCGAGATACTCCATGCCTCGGCTAATTTGGTATACAAAGCTCATCAAAGCTTTGGACGACAGACACGGTGGACTAAGTCCGTCTTCTGAGCGAGAATCGTCTGTATACAGTAGTCTTTCGAAAAGTTCCGCTTCGTCCTCGTCATATGGTAGCAGGCCTCCGTTCTCATCGATGTGGTTATAGAAGTGTTCCGCGTTATACGACTGGAGATACTTCGACAGGGAGCCAAATTGAGCGTACTCCAGCAGCAATATCACTTCACCTTTTAGAGAAAAGTATCACTTCTAGAATCATGATATCAACGCATGCAGTGGACTAGCCAAATAGTAATTTTTGAACAGGAAAGCCGGATTTACATGGTATCAGGACCTACTGTATACAGTAGGTCCTTTTGGTATACATATTACCTTTTGTTACAACTCCCAACAAATTCACGATGTTCAAGTGGCGACCGGCCTGTGTCATAATTTTCATCTCTTGTACTAACTGACGGATGCAGCCGGTATCATGTTTTCTTCTCGCACTCTTGATAGCAACATCCAGCTGACCGGGATGGCCGTAAACACCATCCACTGTACCTTTCCATACTATACCGGTCGCTCCTCTGCCAAGCAGTGTATTTGCTGCAAAGACGTATATCTAATCGTCAGCTAATCTGGTTGCTTTGTGACAATTGGCTAGAATATGTCATTTGTTCTTACAGATCATCACTTTGGCCAGAGAAATCTCCAGAATTTTAACATGGCCATGTAGCGCCGGATCATTCAACAGAAGATCCGCATGAACCGAGGACAGATCGTGTAATACCATTGATTTTACGAGCGAATGGGGATGCCATCGAGCTTTGCGCATAGTACTTTGTCCCTGGTGCTGCTTCTTCAGCCGCAACCAGCACAGTGCCACGATTATTGCAACGGCTGCAATCGGAACCAGAGTGCCCAATGCAGCCGGCAAGACGATTCTGCTGCTGATGGTCTCCGTAAACAAAGTGGTAGCGTTATCATTATCGTCGCCTATAACAATACAAGTCTGCCAGAATTTCCCGAAATTTTTTTTATTACAGGTGCTGCTGCTGTATGACAGTATGAATATATTTCGACAAGTCTTTATAAAAATTCTTTAAAAAAAATAAATTCTTTCTTTATAAAAATTCTAAAAAATTCTTTATAATTTTCTAAAACAAAGCTCACCGATTGTTGAGTTTAGACCTGACCAGGCTGTGCCGTTTGCAGTCTGCAGTGGGTAAATTGTTCCATTCCGGGTGAGCCGTGGTTTCTGCAGGAATGCTTTTGTGAGGAACGGCGCAGTCGTTGATTTTTTCGACCGAGGCTCGTCTGTAAATAAATGTAAATATATATAATGTAAATATATCTGTATATGTATTATCTAAATAATTATATTATCCAAACATACAATATTATATCTTCAGTAAATACTATCTAAATTTCATTATTATGGTAAAAGTTAAAACTAGCGGTACAATTAGCTTTTGCAGCTCTGCATTGACCAGCTTATAGCGATTTATATACGGCGTGCAAAAGGTTAGAACTGAATTTAACTTAATTTCTCTGCCTTATTTTATAAGTACAGTACATAACATAACGTTTTTTAATAGTACGCAGTTAAACGCTACGCACTACGCAGTTATTGATATCCTCGTATATACGACTATACAAATACCTGTAAAATAGGAAGCTGCCGCAACACCACATTTATATCGCATGTGAATTCTGACTACATCCAGTGGACTTAAATTGTTGTTTTGCCCAATTTGTTTTCCTTCGACTTTAGGGATTATCGTTGGTGTACGCCGGTTAATGGCATATTCATAGGCAGAGAAATGCGTTACTGAGTCGTAATCATATGGCAACCTGTACGTCTCCATTCCTTTAATGATAGCGAAGGAGTCATTCCCTGCAACACCGCGGGACAAATTAGTTTACTGTCTTACAAACAGAAGACTCACTTGTTTGCAGCAGTTATGCTTGCTTATGCATAGTTCGGCCAGCTGAGCATTTTCCATTAAAAACGTATCAAGTACACGTTGTCTTTACATTCTGGACTGATATTACTCCAAATGATTTCGACGTTGTCGTCCCGATCAGGCCTCTGATGCTCATGATAAAAGCCCAGTGTGTGCATGAGTTCATGTTGTACGCTTCCGTGCTCGTGGAGACACGCTCTCTGTGTGGACAGGATCTGCCTGCCGCCACTGCGTCCTACGTGGGCTTGGCAACTACAAACGCACCCTAGCATCATTTTTTGAAAAGCTAAGTACCGCAGCATGCAACTTACCGGAAACCCAGCGTAGAAATAAGAAGGTAGTCCGTCTCATTTGTGCGTTCCACAAATTTGACACAATTTCCGGTCATACGACTGATGATCTGCATGGACTCCAACACCATGTTTCTGTTCGCCGCTGTTTTGTCTGGGAATCCATAAGAGGCAAACGTCTTAGACGGAATTTAATGCCGACATAGACAACCATCCTTACCCTTAAGGGACGGGGCGCTAAAAACGTACGGAACAGTGTTGTTAGGGCGCTAAAAACGTACGGAACAGTGTTAGCGATCTTGTTCATCCTGTATGGATTCGTTTAATATTTGAAGAATAACGGCTAAAAGAAATATCGTTCTTTCGTGAAACATGGCATCCGTAAAATTGGCTGGGCCAGGTAGCGGTATTCCCGTGTTAGGTTAAATTAGAAAAACACTTATAGTCTGCTTTTTTGCGTCAACCAGTCTCTGAAAGCACTACACAAAAACCTATATCGGCATAGTGTTTCATAAAAAAGGGAAATGCGGTATTACCCTTTATCGAGCGTAACTGGCGTGCCTGCCTTTTCTGCATATACAATACTTCTGCACGATCGTACAACCAGCTCTGAGCACAAGAGACTTAATAGTTCATACATGAAAAGCGTTAAGTGAAATAATTATCGAGATAAGAATCTCCTTTAACGTCAATCATTTCCGAACAAAAAGGAGACACTGCTATAAAGAGGTCCAATTTAAATGTCACGCCAGCAGCTAAGCTATCAGTGACTAATTTGACAAAATTTGCTGCAGATGTCTTTACGGCCGATTTTGTAGCATTATATTGGTAATTTATCACAGTTTATACGGTCAGTTATTGATAAGCCGGAAACAGATGGAATTTTGGTCGGTTGTCTAGATGGCAGTGGAGGTTGTCGTTTTTATTAACTGAGACTCTCATTTCCAGAAATCTCGTGGATGATGGTTAGGGCAATAGCCAACCAAATTTACCGTATCCGGATGGCCGTATGATAATACTGGCGGCGATTTATGCCAGAGTATTTATGCGAAATCTTATGTTCAGATTTTCCGCACCGGGCCGTTATAGTACTGTACCATTTCACGTGTGAGTTGTAAGTGGTAAGCGTACAGTACATTATTATCGCCTCTCTGAATTCTGTACGTATACTGTAAATTCATCTTGGCGAGCCAGCCATCCGATTACGTCTAGTACTCGTACATTAAATTACTGTCGGTTTTCTGATATTACCCATATGTGTCGAAATGAGAATTTTAGGTAAGAGTGGCAACCATCACTGGCATTTTGATATCAACAAGAACTACTAATTTTTAAGGCTTTTGGTATCTTTTAGGCTTATTAGCTGGTATAAATTAAAATCATAAGTTACTGTAATAAGTATAAAATCGACATCACAATGCGCGTGTTCACGGATAACAAAAACGAAAGGAATCTGCAGCAATTTATATCGGATTTATTGAGTGACTGGCAATTCGCTGCCGGCATGACGTTTAAACTGAACCTTTTATATGAGAGTAGGTATTAGTGTCACTTTCTTTAAAAGTGACATGACTAATAGAGATTTTTATCTCGATGTCATAAGTCGCAGTCGCAAGAGCTGAATGCAGAAAATTAATAGAATGCGATTATTGTGGCAGTGGTACCGTTACTATAGTATTCATAATTAATTTTGAAGATTATCGTAATGCTGTCTATCAGCTGCAGTGAACAGACAGGCACAAGAGTGACTGTTACGTGAAGGACGCGGCGATTAGCGTCAGCACTGAATTAAGCTGTCGATCCCGACTCCGAGATTCTGTCGTGTTTAACAACAAACTGCTACACAGTAATCTGATATCTGTTGTACGAGTACAGTATATTCAGTATTTAAATTCTGAGCCCTGTGATCTTCAAAGATGGTTAAAACTTAAAAGAGTGGTCGCAGTACGGTTTTATGTGACAGCTGTCAGAACAGTGTGCGAACAAATGTCAGTTCAGAAGCTTCAATCATTCATTCAAAGTTGTTCATTTTATTTGTAGTTGATCATTATAATGTGCGGTGCGGAAACATGAGACAGGTAAAAGAGAAAGCAGCATCATGAATGGCGGCACTAACAAACTACGGTTACATCGCTGCATTACAACGCCACGGGAACGCATGTATGGCTTGCGGAATCGGGAGGATCTTGGCCGGAAGTAGGGGCCTTAGTGCTTGTTACGGCGCTGGCTCCAAGGAATGTAGCCTTCCGCCGGAACGGAGGATGCGGGTTCCCCAGTGCACGGATCCTCTACATAACACCCAAGCGGTGGTCATTGGTCAACTATGTTTATTTATTGTTATTCGCGTTATGAACAACAAAAAATAATTTTTTGCGCATTCTACATAAATCGTCAGAAGCGGAAAACACAAGCGAGTTACACAGCAACATCTGCAAACAGAGGCGGGCGAATAAGCCAGCTGTTGGCGTACTGCACATTGCACTATGTACGATAGAACTCATGTTCCGGCAGAACGGTATGCCAAATCAGCTGATTGGAACTCGGAGCTGACAATGCATTAATGACAAAGTACCTTGCAGTAAAACCGTGTACATCAACCAGATTTAGCAGCTATTATAATTTAAATGTGACAGTAAATTAAATACTATTCAAGCTTGCAGTAATTATTCTGATATACGAGTAATTATGTAATAGTACTTACCGACAACGATCTAATCGCAGCGAAATTATAAACTGCTTTTTATACTAGAAGTACAGATTTTAAAAGATTAACTGTTCTCCTTTATAATTACCTTAAGTACGTATTATGAAGGGTAAATTTATCATCTTGGTAGACATAGAGGACTACATTAGAGTTTGTGTGCTTTAACGCGAAGTGGCTAGCGAATTTTCAAAATAATTCTCAAAAATTACCTTTGCTCATCTTACAGAGCGCTTTTTATACTACATAAAGCGATAATTGGAGTGAGTATACCTTTTTTCGTTAACAAGCAAAAAATTAAAGTTGTACGAGTGGTAGAGGGGGGCACATAAGGTGAACCGCAAAATAATGGGTTGCGCCGCGCTTATTGTGAGTCAGTAACAACAAATGCGGTACTATTACTGAACCCATTTTAAAGTACAAAAATCATTTCTGTATGTGTCATATGCTACGGTTTTGCCTAAAAGTGTAACGCGTCGACGGTATGCCCGTTTCCGCAGAAGGACCGAGTTGCTAGCCACTTCGCGTTAAGTGCTTACCTTGCCAAATTTGGCCACAACTTGCGTATTTATCAAGATCCGCGTAGGGGGTAGTGTGTGTCACCGGTGACAAATGAAAAGAATAGGGAATAACGTCGCGGAGTGTGCGGTTATTCTGCCAGGCCCAGTGGTGGGCATGGCAGCACTGCGTCTGCACGAAATTGTTGGCTTTGTGTCCGGCCACGCAGTCACGGCAGTTCGGATAGCCGTCCACGGGGCATCGTTTCTCCCCCGGCCGCAAGCTGTCATCGGGATCACCCCCCGGTGACAGTTCTGGAAAGGACTGGCTTCGCAAGGCGTCCAGGTTGCTCTCTCCCCCCGACCAGGGTTCTTCGATCAGGACGTACTGTGCGCGGTCAGTCGGTTGATCTTTCGGGATACTGTACTGGATATAGTCGCCGCTGGCTGTAAAAAGCGATACTAAGCCGGTAAAAGATAGCAAAAAAACACCGAACATTTTAGTGAGAACAAGGAACAAGTTTACCGATGTGCTGCAGTTGAAACGCACTACTGGAGCATGCGACTGATGCAAACGCGTTTTATACCACAGGCAGGCACATTTCATGGCTGGCGTAGTGCTTTCTGCTAGCAGTTATCGCGAAGACGCCGCCACCGTAACCGGAATATGCCACGTACCATGCTCATTACTATGATAGCATTGCAAATTTGAAGTGTTTTCCCAATATCATGTCTTTGTCTGCACCGCGACTTTGCTTACGGTGCATGAAATATCTTCGTTGAACACTTGTCCATACTTCCGTGGATTCGTCAAGTGGGTGGTGGACTGTCGGACACTAACAGCGTCAGAAACAACCTGAATCCCCGAATTGGTTGCTGCTAACGTGCCCATCTTAAGTGGCCGACTGTTTTGCAAAGATCGACCGACACCTTCTGACTCATCACGTTAAGCACTTGCACGCAAGAGTGAAAATTCCAGGATTTATAATGTTTTATTGCTGACAGTGTCCGTCGCTCCCCCACCCAATTTCGCATGGGCGACATTACTGGCGCTGGAGTTAATATGGAGGAATTTTCTGATGACCGTCTCCCATCAGAGCACGTCTGTGCAACGCTTGTCCGGACGTTAAGAACGAAACAGGGGTCATATATTGATATGTGAACGGTGGCGCCCGCTGACCTCGGTACCAGGTAGGCAGACGTGGGTAACGACACCGATGACAGTGGCTCGTTATAATAATTTCCAGAAGTCCTGTGCTGTCGATTGTAGCGACTGCCTTCATAAATCCACTGCAACTTGCACAATCAGATACAGTAACTGTGAGACAAAGCGCGCCATGACTGAAGGCGCACGGATAAGTTCCGATGGATACACGAAAGAGCCTGAGCATAAGCATGCTAGCGGCAACCGAAAGAAGAATTACGCGACCACTGCATGTCGTCTGCAGCTACTAAATACAGTGCATAACTGAGAAGCGGTTCACAACTGTAGATGGTTGCAGAATCCGTGGGCACAAAAGGAAAACCATTACGGTTACAAAAAGAATTAAATGTGCGCAGTGCAACCCGATACACTTTCTGACTGGCGGATGATAGATGCGCTTGCAACAAAGTTTGGATAACTGGACGAAATGGCGTATTGTGAGCATTAAGTACACGAGCGTTTTCTGCAATAAAGCACATCGTTAATAACAGTGAACAACTAGATAACATAAGAATGAAAACGATACTTTATCCGGCGATTACGGCACTTGCGAGGCAGCAAGAACGTCAAAGAATTCAACCATATTGAACGGAAATTCCTCTCGAAGCCGATTTGCAGACGGTAGAAGTTCGAAAAACCGCTCGATATTGCCACGGGACAACGCATCTGCTGTAGCATTGCTCTTCCCCGGTAAATAGACAATACGTAGATGAAAATTATATCGCGCTGCCTCAAAATGTAATGCTCTAATTAATGCCATGACCCCGGGATGCTTGGAAGAACTTGCTCCAAACTGCCGCTACAGCTTGGTTGTCACAGAAGAACGTCAACCGCTTGCTGTGCCAGTGTGTGCCCCATAATCTACACGCATAAAGAATTGGCAGCATCTCCAACCAGGTGATATGCGGATGCAGAATCATAAGGTCAGGAGGCCAAGTTAACTGGAACCATCTGTTACCCGAAACATCCGCCGCACCCAGTGTGAGACGCATCCGTATACAAGCTAAAATTGTCTGCGTTTGTCCAGTCTGGCTCGATAAAAGAAGCAGTACCGTTCCACAGTGGCAAAAATTTAATCCACCACTCCAAATCAGCTCGAAATTCAGAATTTAAATGAACCGACTGATGTAAGAGGCGGACTGAATTGGCACAATCGATCATCCGTCGTAAGAAAATCCGACCGGCTGGAATGCATTTCGTAGCAAAACTGAGCTTGCCGATTAGACTGAGAAGGTCACGCTTAGAAGCTGACTGTCTGGTGGAGAACACCGTGAACTCATCGATTAAATCTTGAAGTTTTCCGGGTGGGAGCGAGATGGTTTGATCAACGGAGTCCAGGACGACACCGAGAAAGGTCAATTTTGTTGAGGTCCTTCCGTCTTATCAGGCGCTAACGGAATTCCTAGATCTAAACACAGCAGCGTCATAAGCTCAATAGCTAACTGGCAAAGAATAGAACCGAATGGACCGGCGAAGAAGAAATCATCCATATAGTGCAGAACATCCGAAAATGACACACGTTTCGAATTATCCATTCCAAAAAACATGCCATTCTATCGAAAATGGCGGGCGAAGAGCGGCAACCAAAAGGTAATACCACATCAAAATAAAACGGTCATCGAAACAATACCCGAGAAGGTGCCAATCTTCCGGCCTGACAGGTATGAGGCGGAAGGCGTGCTTCAAGTCCATTTGGCCATAATGGCGCCGGCACCTAGCTTGATAATAATACGGATTGCGTCATCGACAGAACAGAATCGCATGGTGTACGTTTTCTTGCAAATATAGTCATTTACGGAGCTACCGAAAGGCCGGAGAGGTCCATAATCAAGCGTGCTCCTCCAGTTTTCTTCGGTCTGACTCCTAGAGACGAACTGACGAAGAATTTAAAAGGCGGGGATGCGAACGGCCCCAACGTGTGCTTCAGTTCAATCTCTTTGGCAATGTAACGACGCACTATATCTGGATACTGTCGAGCAGTGAGCGCATTGGCAGTAGACCGAACTAAACTTGGACCGGTGTAGCCAATAGAAAACCCATTCAGCAAACCTGCAATAAAGTGATACACAGCGCCACGATTCGGGTACTCACGTAGGTAACGAAGAAATTTGTAGGGCCGAAGAGGAGTGAAATCCTTCTACTACTTCTCCTTCTACTACTTCTTTTTTTTCAAAGTTTAGAAGGATCCATACAAGATGAAAAAGAAAACATCTTACATGGCCTAATGGCACTGTACCCTATTCCGTTGACGCCCAGATCATGGATGGTAAGATTTTGTAAACGGTTCTTTTACATTGGCATATTTGATATTTTTTATATTTTATTTTTCAGTCCCAGCAGAAAAGCGTATGGTGCTGCAGTCCATGCAAGTTATTAACCGTATGACCGCAAATTGTGTCAAATTTGTGGAACGCACAACGGAACCGGACTATCTTGTGATTAATCACGATGACAGGTTCGTCATGAGGTTTTACTTCGAGAAAGAAATCTTTGGGTGTGTTTATATTTTGTAGCTGCCACTCAAACGTGGGTCGAGTGGGTGGAAAGCAGTTTTTGTCGCTGAAGGAAGGATGTCTACATCACCACGGAAATGTACAGCATGAACTCATGCACACCTTGGGCTTCTACCATGAAAACCAGAAGCCTGATCGCGACAATTATGTGGAAATCATATGGAGCAATATAAATCCAAAGGGTAAAGTTTTTTGTTTTTAGTAAGTGTGGCTTGGATAACTTGATTAGATCTTACTGGTATTATTAACTGCTTATACATAGGAAAACACGTCGAATCGTCGACGGCTACGAAAACGTGAAGTTGTAAACCAAGTACATATACTGTGAACGAGAAAGCAAGTTTGCCCCATTTAGTGCTCGACAACTTCGCTATCCGTAAAGGAATGGAAACTTACGGGCTGCCATACGCTTCAGGTACGCACTACCGGTTCAACGAATTTGCCCGCGACTCTAGTAAACCAACAATAATTCCGAAAGCCAAAGGAAAACAGTTGGGACAGACATCAATTTAAGCCCCTTGGATGTTCTGCGCGTTCAAATGCGATATAAATGTGGTGTAGCCGAAGCGTCCTATTTCATAGGTAAGCAAAAGTTACGAAGTACTGCCGTAATATACGGTATTGAAACGATCCTCTTAAAGCCTCTCAACTGGAGTTGCTTATACAGCTCTTTCAGCGAGTTGGAGCAGACGACTGTTCAGGTTAGAAAAGGATGCGGGGTCACGAAGCAGCTTAGATTACATTACCAGAATCGAGAAATACCAGTTCATTGTGCGGCCAGACCGCAGGCTTAAATTTATTAGAACGTCCCATACGAACGGATGAAGAACGAAAACTAAAAAAAGATTACAAATAAAATGGCCAGCTTCCGATAAATGTGTTTAGCTGCGCTAACCGCTCATTAACGCTTTCGGACTCGTTTAATTAAGTTGCCGCTTTGTGGATGTCGGGACAAGTGCTCGAAAGCCGGCGATGTCCAAACGGTCGCAACTGAACGGCGCCGCTGGTCACCGACTTCCGTTGAGACAAGCCGCGCCGAACACCCCAAAGCGACGCCGCGCGGCCCAACCGGAACGAGAAAACGCAACCGAACGGGAAAGAGAGTATTAATATTTCATGACAATAAACAGTTGTACAAGTGACAATATGGAGCGGAAGACTTATGAATGTATCTGTTAACGACATCACTGGTCCACCGTCCCATCTTTTGAACGTCCACATATGTTAAACCGACGTTAGCCGCGGTTGAAGCTGCACCAATCCGAAACGAATGGGTTGACACTGTGGGACCGAAGCAACTATGTAGCAAATTGGATATATATTGACGAGTTAAATATTTTCCGTCTGAAAAACAAAAGAATGGAGATGAAGAATCAAAACGGGTATCCCGAAGCGCTCGATAGCGAGAAACAGCAGTAACGGGGCACGTGATATCAGATAGAGGAGGAATAGATATAACAACGGGAGCATGCTGAGATGTTTTGCTTTTCCGCAGTGTGATCTGAAGACAGGAAAAATCACACGAAATATCTGAACCACGAAGACTGTGGGTAGCTGATCGGGATTGAGTAGGAGCACAATATTCAGACACACGCATAAATCCATAAAAAGCCATCATCGTGGCAGCTTGCAACATGATGCGATCAAACATGCAGTACGGAAGTGATTGAATATAGTGAAACAAAGAACGCAGATTTGCTACTGTTAGTCCGGCACGCTTCATGGGAGGTGACCCACGGATTCTGGACCATCTAGAAAAAAGCAGCGCCAGGCGGCGTTTGTCCGGAATAGGATCCGGATAGCCGTTAAGAGTGCTATATGTTGTAATGGCCGAAACGTACACTCGCGCTGTGGCTACAGTTAATTTATCCAAGAAAAGTTGTGCAGCAAAATTTAAGATGGTTTCAGAATCCGTGGGCACGAAAGGAAAACCGTTACGGTTACAGAATGATTGGAAAGTTCGGAGAGCGACCCGATACACTTTTTGGCTGGCAGATGACAAATGCGCTTGCAATAAAGTTCGGATAACTGGGCGAAATGGCGCATTATGAGCATTTAGTACGCGAGCGTTTTCTGGAAAAAACACAAAATGTTAATAACAGTGGACAACAGAACATCATTAAGAGTCAATAAGAGACAAAGGGATACTTTGACCGACGATTACGACATTTGGGTGGAGTAGGAAGAATGTCGAAGAATTCGGCGACATCAAACGGAGGGTCATCTCGAAGCCGATTTGCCGTCGGTAAGAGTTCAAAAAACCGCTCAATATTGTCACGGGACAACGCGTCTGCTGTGGCATTACTCTTCCCAGGTATGTATAGGATGCGTAGATGAAAATTATACCGTGCAGCCTCGAAATGTAATGCTCTGATTAGTGCCATGACCCCGGGATGCTTAGAAGGGAACTTGCTCCAAACTGCTGCTACGGCCTGATTGTCACAGAAGAATGTAATTCGCTTGCGGTGCCAGTGTGTAGCCCATAGTCTACATGCGCAAAGAATTGGCAGAATCTCTAACCAAGTGATATGCGGATGCAGATTCATAAGTTCAGGTGGCCAAATTAAATGAAACCATCGGTTACCAAAAAATCCGCCGCAGCCGACGTGAGACGCATCCGTATACAAACTCAGACTGTCTGCGTCTGTCCAGTCTGGCTCAACAAAAGAAGCAGTGCCGTTCCATAGAGGCAAAAACTTAATCCACCACTCTAAATCGGCGCAAAATTCGGAGTTCAGATTAACTGACTGATGTAGCAAGCGGACTGAATTGGCACAATCGATCATTCGTCTTAAGAAGATCCGACCCGCCGGAATACATTTCGTAGCAAAACTAAGCTTGCCGATAAGACTCAGAAGGTCACGCTTTGAAGCAAACTGCCTAGTTGAGAACACTGTGAACTCATCGATTAAATCTTGAAGTTTTCCTGGTAGAAGCGAAATAGTTTGATCGACTGAGTCCAGGACGACGCCGAGAAAAGTTAATTTCGTTGAGGGCCCTTCAGTCTTATCGGGCGCTAGCGGAATGCCCAGATCCAAACACAACAACGCCATAAGCTCAATGGCTAACTGACAAAAGATGGAACCGCATGGACCCGCGAAAAAGAAATCATCCATATAGTGCAGAACGTTCCGAAAATGACATACATTTTGAATGATCCATTCCAAAAAACAGGCCATTCTGTCAAAAATTGCGGGCGAAGAGCGGCAGCCGAAGGGTAATACGACATCAAAGTAGTATCGGTCGTCAAAACAATACCCGAGAAGGTGCCAGTCTTGGTGTCTGACAGGTATGAGGCGAAAGGCATGTTTCAGGTCCATTTTGGCCATGATGGCACCGGCACCTAACTTGATGATAATACGAATTGCGTCATCGACAGAACAGAATCGCATAGTGTATGTTTTCTTGCAAATGTAATCGTTCACAGAGGTACCGAAAGGCCGGGAAAGGTCCATAATCAAGCGTGCTCCTCCGGTCTTCTTCGGTCTTACTCCTAAAGATGAAGTGACGAAAAATTTAAAAGGAGGAGATGTGAAAGGTCCCAAAGTGTGCTTCAGTTCAATCTCTTTGGCAATGTAACGACGCACTATTTCCGGGTACTGTCGAGCAGTGAGCGCGTTGGCAGTATGACGAGCTAAACTTGGGCCAGTGTATCCAATGGAAAAACCATACAGCAAACCTGTTATAAACTGATATACAACGCCACGATTGGGGTACTCACGTAGATAGCCAAGGAATTTATAGGGCTGTAGTGGAGTGTAAGGATTAGTTGGTAGACGCGGTCGAGGAAGAGTGGAAAGGTCGGGTGTAGGTTGCGTCGAAGCATTCATCACAGATGTGCAATCGACGACCGGGGCACGGGTTGGAACATCGCCCCGCGTTGTAATCCCGGCAGACTGCAACGCGGGGTGGACGAAAGGGCTGACGCGGGGTGGACGAAAGGGCTGAGCTGCAACGCGGGGTGGACGAAAGGGCGGTAGGGGAACGCTGTGCGGGAGCGGATACATCAGACGGGTTACGACGCTGCGGGCATACATTAGCGTAATGCTCAGAGCTGCGGCACAAATAACAGCCAAAGGGCGGCTTCGCTGAAACCGGAGGCGGTGGCGAGCGGACGTCTTTTTGGAAAAGAGGACCCGTGTAGCTCAGTGGGATAGTACGCATGACCTCAGCAATGACAGACGAATCTTCAACGAACCAAGCATTATCAGAAATGTCACGGTTGCTCATCTTGTCGCGAAACCGTCGATCATATTCAAGCCAGATTAACAGAGGACGAGATACTGATAAGCCACGAATAATGTCAATGTATGCGAACAGCGCAAGTGCCAGACTAGGATGATAATAAACCCGGTAACGAGCAAATAACAAAAATGCGTCCAGCCAGGAGTTGAAAGTGTCAATCTTCCGGCGATTAGGCACAGTGGTGGTGGGAATTAATTTACCGTCATTATCAGGCACATACATAGGCTGATCGGAAACTGATTCTACGCCTCTGTTAACCGGTAGTAGTTTATGCAAATTAATGAACCCATGACGATCGGACAGTAATTTTAACGTAGGATTATCAAGTGTGGGTAAACATAGATTGGATGGCGGTTTAAATGACGTGCTGGGCTCCGGAATGGAAAGGTCAATCAGCGCGGGAGTAGTGACTGAAGGTGAAGATCCAGGTGGGACGGGAAATTGGGGTTGTTGAACTGTTAAAGCAGCCAATTGCGTTTGCAATTGAGAAACTGTATGCTGAAGAGCAACCAAATCGATGGAGTCTGGTGATTGTTGCTCTGTTGTCTTTTTAACAATCCCCCTCCGGCGTTTTCTGGGTGCGACAGGCGCGACGGACCGGGGTTTAGGAGCCATTTTTTGGCGAAAAAATTGGCGAACTAATTACTAAATGTTCAATCAAAAGAACTATGCTTTCTTCTACTAAATTGTTAGCGTCATCACTGGATGAAGCTGCTACGTTGCCAGGGACAAACGAAACTCGCCCGGCGTTAACGGTATTTAACGCCTACAGCGTTAAATAGCATTATTGGGAGCTGGTAGTCAGTGTAGTGCCGCACATCCGATTTTACTTCGCCAAGTTCACGGTGACCTTCTGGATGCAGACAAAAATAAAAGAATTGTTCAATAGATTCGTAATTTTTTCAGGTGACGATACTACTAACGCGACCACATCTACGCATATGGATACCAACCGCACCAGTATCGCTTTGCAGGCTACTTTAGGCACGCTGATTCCGTTTGCAGTCGTCGTCGCAGCAGTGGCACTATACTGGTTGCGGCTTAAGAAGCATCATCAAGGGCACAGTACCATGCGCAAGGACAGTTGGCGTCCGCATTCCCTCGTTAAATCTGTGGCATTACACGATCTGTCCTCTGTTCAAGGTGATCTCCATCACCTCATTCCGAACGATTCCGCGCTCCACGGCCATATTAAGCTTTTAGAGATTTCACTGGCCAGATTGGCGATTTGTAAGAGGCCACTACGTAATCATATTATTCGCAAAATTGTTATCGGACTGGCAACCTTTGGGCCTTTGCAGCGAATACAGTTCTTGGCAAAGGGGCGACCGGTATAGTGTGGAGAGGCACTGCGGATGGCGTCTACGGCAATCCCAGTAAAGTGGATGTTGCTGTCAAAAGTCCTAGAAGAAAACACGACAACGGTCAAATTCGCCAACTTATCCAGGAGCTGAAGATTATGACACGGACCGGTCGCCATTTAAATATTGTGAACCTGTTGGGAGTGGTAACCAAAGGTAATGCTTACTCTCGTTAAACTGTTATACGTCTTGATATTCAGCTTCTTGTAACAGGCGAAGCGCTCTTGTTGCTGGAGCTCGCCCAGTATGGCTCCTTGCTAAGATACCTTCAGTCATACAACACTGAACGCTTCTACAATCACGTCGATGAGAACGGAGATATCCTGCCCTACGATGAAGACAAAGCCGAACATATCGAACGACTTCTGAATGCTGGTGATCCTCAGTGGACGGAGAACGGACTTAGTCCACTGTGCTTATCGTCCAAAACTTTACTCAGTTTTGTATATCAAATTAGCCGCGGCATGGAGTATCTTGGCACAAAATCGATCATCCACAGAGATCTCGCTGCCCGCAATGTCCTCATCTGTGAATCCTGTGATAGAAACGTGGTGAAAATTTCCGATTTTGGAATGGCACAAGCCGGTACAGAAGACGTTCCCTTTGATCCTAAGGTCAGTGAAGTTGTCGCTTGTCTGCAATTTAGGACGTTAAGTTTACGACTAAGCGCAAGCAAACCGATTATGTTTGGACAGAGTACGCAAACATTAGGCTGTGCCGCATTATCGGTTTTCCGAACGGAAATCTAAACGAAAGCTACTGCTCGTTTTACATGCAGTAAAGTGATCATTTTACGGACCAAACTAGATGTCGGTCGTCGGTTCTATGACCAAAACCAACTGTTCAAAGGGTAAAGAGTACAGCTTTTAACTTTTACCATACCAAGTTTGGTTATCTTGCCTGTTGATTTATTCATCGAACCGAAGGGGCGTGATATCATGATCTTATCATCTTTTGCATAGCTAACGAACTAGCCACCGACTTTGTTTTCCTGTTCTTTTTCTGTGGGTATCCGCCGCCGGTTGGTTTAAATTGACGACAATATTTACGGCCGTAGTCTTTTTGGTTTCCCCAGACCAGATGTTTGGTCGGTTCAGCGACGAAAACGTCAACTGAGCGTTTTTGATGTCTGCACGTTTTAATCGACTACAACGGCACACTAGTCTCCATAATTGTAGACTGATCGAGTAACTTAATTTCAATGCTAGGAAATGTTACCAGTGCGTTGGATGCCGCCCGAAGCCATCACACACAGAGTATTTTCCCACAAATCAGATGTATGGTCATTTGGCGTGGTGATGTGGGAAACGTTCAGTCTGGGTAATCTTCCGTACAGTGGCAGTGATATTATGCGCCAGTCCATCGCAGAATTCGTGGTGTCATTAAAAAATGGATTACGTTTGGAAAGACATGTATTCTGTCCTTCCGGCATGTAAGTTTCGCTTATTAATAATTTTATTCTTGAACCTTCCGTGCAACGTGTCTCTCCAAACGCACTCGTTTGTCCCTCAAAGTAGTTCACATTCACTAACTCCAAAACAATTCTTCTATTTCTGAGCCGCGAAACCATAGCTGACATAATAATGTAGTGAGATTTATCTGAGCTGTGCTTTTCGCAGATATAAGCTGGGAATTCTTACCGGATGACCGCACCGATTTTGCCCAACTGACCCATGCTCTGCGACTGATTATCGACAGTGATTCCGCCGAAACATATCTTCTTCTGGACGACGTGTACAACCAGTTTAATGTGAATTATTTGACCGTTTTAGAAAATGTGATAATGGATGGTAGTATTGCCTTAAATCAATAACATTAATCAGGTAATTACTGATTCCCCAGAACTGAGCAGTACACGATATCAGTTATAAAGTGAAGCCGACAAGCCATTAATAAAGAGAAGTATCGATAATTCGGCAGCACGCAATCTTTTTTATATAGTCTATATTTACACTACGTATATTCGCAAAACGTGAGCGATGTTTTTTTTGGGCGAGATAATGCGGAAAAAATTGCAGTAATTGGAACATTTCCATTTTCTATAACGCGCTAATTGTTGTTTATTCATACAGAGTACATGAGTATATTCAGACACGCGCTAAGAAAAATTTGTTATGAATTTACTGCACTGACCAACTCATCGCGACTTAGGTACTCTGCAATCTGTATGTACAGACGTGCAGAAGGTTAGAATTAATGGAAGTGGGCCGGTACATGGACGAAAACTTTCGCTTTCGCGCACTCCAAACATATTTTTGATTCGGTTTATGACGTTTTGAAGCCAGAAGGTTTGTATACACTGGCGCGAAAACCGTTTGTGCGCTCAACATCCGGTTCGGGAGTTATGGCTGTTAGAAAATTCCAAAAAGTTTAAATGCGTTCAGGTGTACGTGTACCAAAAGTCTCATTATGGACCGATCTACCTCAAATTTTGCACGTAAATTCAAATAACCAGGAAGATCGTTTTTACACCGATTCAGACTTCCCTAATTTTTTTCAAATTTTAAAATGAATTTTAACATTTTTGAAATTCATTTTAAAATTTGAAAAACATGCTAGTACAGTGGATCGATGTAAAAACGTTCTCGTGGTCATGTGCATTTACGTGCAAAATTTGAGGTACAGTAGATTGGTCCATAATGAAACTTTTGGTACACCTGCTGGCGGCGCGCAATATCCTGATTTGTGATAGAAATGTGGTGAAAATTGCTGATTCCGGAATGGCACAAGCCGGTACCGAAGAAATTCCGTTTGATCCAAAGGTCAGCCAAGATGCCACTTTTTAATACGCTGCTACATCCCGGAAGTACTATATTTTACATTGAAAAGTTTGACAGAATTTCGATAATCATTACCAGTCTTAGGCAGTCTTTAGAACAGTTTCCGACTGTATAAACGGGCAGTAAATCCGTACCACTGCTTGTACTACAGTATAAGGCTTCAGTAGTACGCGGTTTCAGTAGTGTTTTCAAATTAAGGAATGACCCACGGTTCAACCATAGGAAGCGTTACCCGTGCGCTGGATGCCACCGGAAGCCATCACCCACAGGAAATTCACCCACAAATCCGATGTATGGTCTTTTGGTGTGGTGATGTGGGAAACGTTCAGTCTGGGTAAACTACCATATGGTACGAGTGATATAATGCATCAGTCTATCTCTGAATTTGTGGAATCTCTGAAAAACGGATCACGTTTGGGAAAGGCCGACATTCTGTCCTAACGCCATGTAAGTGCAACAGTTATTGTTTTTTGACCGTTCTGCTAGAAGCGTACCGCATGTTTACTTATCCGTGGTTCTTTATTGCATTAAGCTGCTTTATTTGCGAGCAATAAGTACTGGTAAGTACTGGAACAAATGCCGGCTGACTGTTAACCAGCTATGTGGGTTTTGACAGTTATAAGATGATGTCACAATGCTGGCAATTTTCTCCGGATGACCGCACTGATTTTGCTCAGCTGACCCATGATTTGCGGCTGGTAATGGACTGTGATTCCACCGAGTCGTATCTCAAACTGGACGATGTTTACAATCAGTTTAATGCAAATTATTTGACGCTTCTGGAAAACGTAACGATGGATGGCAGCGTTTCCTTGGGACCGGCAATAGTAATCCGATTATTACTTTTTTCAGCATGGTAGGTTTATTGTACATTCTTATTAGAGCGGCGTCTTGTTCTTTAGCCGTGAACGTACCGCCAACAAATGTATGCGATTCCCATTCCCTGTATTACAGAAAATAAAAATCCGGAAGACAAATGCAAATTTTTCACGCGACACAACAAAAAAGCGGTCGCAGTCGCTTCAAACATTTTCAAAAATATCATAACTTTAGGGTATCACAGATACGCGTCCATGTTTGACGACCGCTGACGCAGCCGCAACTGATGTCTCACACTCGGCGTCGTGTACCAGTTACCAACACAGACATCCTTCTTGCGACCTCTCCACCAGTGATTAATGCTGGCAATGGATTTCCTCTGTTCCTTAACGTTTTCATTGAGATCATGCAGTCGCTTACATAACTCACAATATCCATTGCGCTCAACAGCGAACTCTCCGTGCGACTGCGTCAAACGGGGATTGTAGCGCCATCTCATGTATAAATTATAGGCGGTATCATTGTTAGCCAAGTGCCACAGATGTTTTGCCAGTGAACTCGGGCTGGCAAAGTCGAAGGCGTGAATGTATGAGTGCTCCGGGAAGATTTCGTAATCGCCATCGCCCATGACCACCGGGACCACGTCGTTGTCGTACGCGGTGACAATCTTCTCGGTGACATAATGACGACAAATGCTACAAAGAAACAGACACGAATCACTGGTAACAGTAAATCTTTCGCCAGTATTCCACATAATTTTTGTTTACTTGCGTTTTAATAAAAAAGTTGATTTCTGGCCGTGTTAGCATTTTTATAAAGGTCACCGCAACATTATCGTGAGCTCACGTTTTTCAAATTTCTAGTACTTTCTAAGATGCAAGTAACAGTCAAACACGTGACGAACCTGTTCTCGAATGCCAGAACGAATTTGTACTGTCGAATAATATCCCGGCATTTGCTTTCATGCTCAGCTTTATCACACGTCAGATTCCCGCACTTTCCGTATATATCCACCGGGATAAACTGCTGCAGCTTGCGCACATACTGATCGCGTTTACTGTGCACATTGCAGTGACTGGCGAACCACACCACCAGTTTATCCTTGCCCTTGGCGAAATTCTTTGCCTTCTTCTGCAACGGTACCGCGTACGTGTAGTGCCCGCGAATATCCGAATCCAGCCTGTATGTCATAGTCCAGTTGAAGAAATGCGATGTCGCCAGTCCCTCGCCCGGGATACTGTGGATAGGTGATTCACCCTGGACGTACACGAATACCTGGTCGCCGTGTTTCCGAGGCAGACGGTCCAGCGTCTTCTGGGCGGTGTCGATCATGTAGCTGGCGTAGAAAAGAATGGCGTCAGCACGGTCGGACAGGGATTTGTTGGTGGTTACGAAGCAAGACGGTACCGGGCAGCCGGTGAAGAAGTCGTGGCCGCGACCGGCAAAGGTGATGTCGCCGTACACGAGGACCAGCTTATTGTTACCTAGTTACGAACAGTGGGTTACGTGCTTAATACGCGTTCGCTACGATACTACAGGGGAAATGAAATTGTCTAATGGGCTTGCGATATTCGGATCAGCATAGATATCGCAATCGTTAGACTTATCGCTGCGTTTCCGAACCTGATCTTAACTTCTTTGGTTCTTTCACTATTTATTACGCAGAGCAATCTAAACGTTTATTGTGCCTGTAAACCAATGCTTTGTTGATTCCGTCAATCGCTATCCTAGCTGCGTTGGTGACCTTATTAGTGCAGGAACAAACATGGAAGCGACCAGTCGATTCCCGTTATAACAAACGGTATGTAACAAGAATACATCTAATGCGCATAAATCATCAGCACTAGGTTCGAGAGAAGCTAACCGTGCGCAAAATGCATTTTAGCAAAGCATCTGTTTTTTTACTCCTGCATGTACATCTTTTTTCATCCTATACTCGTACAGTTAGAAGCTCCTTAAAAGCGAGGAGTAATCGGTTCGAGTTGAGGTATTCTAACAGCATCGTAGCAATAATTACCGCTATATGTAGCGTTACTTGTTACGGTCCATTGCGATACATTATACCTAGGTTAGAGATGTTCTCGGTTCCCGCTGTCCACGGATCCAGCTGGAACACTCCGACATCGATGGCCATTCTTTGGTCGTTGGGAATGGAAGATACTGAATGGAACGTGTTGTCGCTGTCGTCCATCTCCACTTGGTCGGTGTCATCCGGCGCAATAAATACCCGTATGAAATTAGAGCAGGCTGTTGCGTTGTTGTCGTTTGTGCACTGAAAATACGAGTTCAGTACTCCAGCTAAACTTAAAAGAGTGCAGAAGATGATGGTAGCGAATATCCGGTTGTAGCAGTCGATCGTGATTAGCCGACGCGTCCAGGGTGGATTTAGCGGCTCGGTTGCAGGCAGAAGCTGCTCTTGAGATTTTTCATCCATACTGCAGACTTGAATATTCAAGAAATTTGCCAATAACTTTGTATACCGATATGTGACACCGATGCGGTAAATTTCAGAGAAAATCAAAGTTAGGGATTCTAGGTGTATGCGCGACTACCTAATGCGGCCCATGAAAAAAACATGGTTTCCTGATTTGATGCTGTTCATAACAGTGCAGACATGAAGTTTCTCCAATATTAATCTCGCACACAGAGCCTTCTTCATCATTCTATGTGAACTGTTGATAACTTTATACGTGGTTGCGATGCATGGCTGTACTGCCTGTACAGATACATATTGCAAAGGTGTGCAGCATCGCCAGCCGGCAGTTTCAATGTCAATGTCAACGATCGCAGTGATGACCCTGCGGCACTTTATACGATAACAGTTGCCTGGATTACAAAGCGTGTGATTCATAAGTGGAAAAAAAACAGACCATCTTTATAGCACAGTGACAATGTACACGATCAACATACAAGGTACTTACTAAAAAACCCTATCCATAAAGTAAAATTAATATAATTACTCTAAAATCGTAATAAAGTACTGGTGCAGAATGTTTATTGCCCTTATGTGCCGGTATCCGTCTAACGTTTTTTATGTGGAGAAGGTTAAAATATCAAGCGCGATAACTTATTTCAATGGTTTCAAATTTTTATTATTTTAAAGGCGCAATAAATTATTTCATTAGGAATTAATGGAACATTGTAAAATACAGATACATTAAACGTACCTGTATATACAGGTACGTACGTAAGACAGGCATCTACAGATACTTAATTTATAAGGCTTTTTTTATTTTTATTCGCGTTATTACTTATTAGCAACAAAATTTTCACACTTTCTACATACTTCGAATGCTGCCTTATATGGGCTCCCCTTATATTACTCTCCCTTATCTGGGCTCCCGGCTAGTTAGCAATACCCGTCAAATTAAATTTATCGGATTTATAGCAGAACCCTTTTCTACTTCTTTCAACCGGATTTACAAGTGAGCACACCAAAGAATTCCGAAACTTCACATCCAAATTATATTTATATATATTATCTGTATAATAATATTTTTCATTAATTTCAACCGGATTTGCCAATGAACAAACTGAAAAATGCCGAAATTCCATATCACATTATTTTTTCAAGGTGTTTTTAGTGCATTTAAGCGGGCGACGTTTAGAAGGAGTTTGAATTTAGAAAGATTTTGAATTTTAGAAAGATTTTGAATCTGTCGTTGATGCAACCTGATGCACCTTGAAACAAACTAAATGCTACAAAAGTACTGGCGAAATAAGTATTATAATATAAATCAAAATTTGCAGTCAGGCATAACACTGATAACAGCTGCGAAAGTGTGAGCAATAACGTAACCGCCCATGTAGGGGGTTGCTCATATTGCCCGGGAGCCCAGATAAGGGAAAGTAATATAAGGGGAGCCCATATAAGGCAGCATTCGAAGTACTGTAGATCGTGAGAAACTAAAACACAGGCGAGTTACACAACCTCCATAAACTCAGGCGGGCGAATAACAGCAAATATTTCGTCTAAATTCGCCGCCGGTGGGGCTGTTCCCATTATAGATGCTGCGTTTCCCCGCTGAATTACGATGCTAATCCGTTGACGCAAAAACTCCAGTTAATTTATAAGGAATATTACTAAAGCTGTTGCATAGCTCACATACATTTGTAATACTGCTCGAATTTAGGAACAAGCTGTCTACAACCACATCTTTGGAAAAGGAATAATGAATAATTATTAAAATAATAAATGCCAAACGCATCCAAAATAAATTAATCCAGTTCGCTATTCCGCGTCCGAGATTCGTGAGATCTGAGTGGCAGCGGCGACCAGCACCGCCATATCCGACAACCGGCAAAAACCGAATTTTTGCGGTTTCCGTCTTTGCATTAAACATCAATGGAAGGATTTCTGGAACTTCCTTTAGATAACCTTAAATACGCTCGTCGACGAAACCGTTTGTTGGCGCAGATTTTCGCGGTCGAACTACAAAACTGGCCGCGCCCACAATCCGCATCCGTTGTGCATGATCCGCGCAAAACGTACGGCCGTAAAACGGCATCATAGGACGTCAGTACTGTAACGACAAAAACACATCAAGATCCAGAACAAATAACCAATCAGCAGCGACCGCTTTACAATAAAATAAGTACTTGTTTACAGCATCACGTGTCATGTAGTTATATTAAACGAAAGTGAATAAAAAATTATGCGATGGCGGATTACATGACTTACCGGGACTCGATTCGGCAAATATCCACGAAAGGGCGAAGACAAATGCCACAATAACTATGTAACGCTGCATTCTTTCAGGTTTATCACAGAGCTATATTTAAAATTTAACAAACTATTCCAAGCTGTGCACACACAAAGGTATACTTTGGTTAATGTAATGTTTGACTGTAATGTTTGACCGTAAATTGATAGTTAAAACGATTTCGCAAGACTACGACCGGCATGTGTCGCCTAATTGTCTGCCCGACCCTTTATATATACCGGTTTACTAACCCAATTGACGTTGTCCGGAAGACGCGTGTGAGAATGTTTCCATGAAGGACACCCTATGGATCATAACCGCTAACGCTGCATGATGGTACTCACCGCACCGCTGACCGCAAACCCGCGCACAGGCACAGGTTGTTCATGCTCGTATCGCGCCATCAGATTACCACCCACCAACGTAACAACACCCGCTTATCATTTAGAGGACCGGCACACTACTGCTGGATTAATCATAGAGACGGCTTCCGTATCGGAAGTCGCATCGGCACTGTTACTCCACGGGCTGCCGGCAGGCGCTTGCCGTAAAGAATATATGCGAGAACATTATACTTCCAGTACCAGCGTTGTTGTTTGGTAATTACATAGACGGTAAAAACTGTTATTGTCATCGGGATGAATCAGACGACTCCTCACGAGGGATGGTACAGTACTAATACTCGAGCATGCGGTGCCGTTGTTGCTTGAATAGGTCCGAAGGTCTTAAATCTTGATGTAATTGTGATATGATGACGTCAGAAAATGCACGGCTACGTAAATATTATTAATTTCCGGGTGGGTTAGGTTGTACAGCATGCAGCACAAAATGCCGCTGGCTGGCGGCTTACGGCCGGTGTACTTACGGTACTTATTATTAGCGTAAGTTATTTACGCAGATAAGTTATGATAGTAACCGTATTATTAACCCATGACGAAATCTTCGAAAACCCGTATATTGTCGAAACCCGTATATTATACCCGTATATTGTCGAAATCTTCGCGAGTTTTTATGTATTTATGTCGTTCGTCAACCAAAAGGGTGAAGACCAATATTTTTTTTTGCGTCCATGTTGTAAAAAAAGTTGTAAAAAGTTGTTGTTGTAAAAGTTTACCAAGCTCTGCCGTGCACCAAAACTTAAAGTTATTATTCCATCTGTCTGAAACTATACTTTACTGTACCTAGAAGGCGCAAACCTATGAAGACAAATTCGAACCAGTTTCGTAGTATTTTTATCCAGTTTTAAACTGAACTCGAGAGATGATAAAACTAATCTTGAAAGTGCAAAAAAGACTAACCTGCAATTAGCTAGGCAGCAATTACCCGAACCGCTCCTCTAGCCACCGGCGAATTTCACCGGATTAACAACACAAAGCCTTAACAGTGATGTCTGACGGACAATCGGTTGAAAAACCACGTACATAATTACTCGCTGTCACTCATATGTCAAGCAGCATTCCTTATTTTTAATTTAAAAAACACACAGAGTGTGAGTACAATGTGTAGAAGTATAGGTATACGGTAGTAATATATTGCTGCTATTCGAATTGTCGCCGATCCAGGGTTGCTGGATCGGAAAAAAGTACTGTAATCTGATGGGTGCACATGATTGTCTACTTTGTGCGACATACTTAAAAGTACAAATTAAATTCCTCTTCCATCACGAGATGCATTGTACACAATCAAACAAACTGAACTCGATACATTTAAACTTAATTTTCTTTAGAACTCACTCATACGCTTAATGTGTCCAGTTGGGTAGGTCAACTTTACAGGCTGAGATGACATGATGTTCAAAATCTTTAACAAAAAATGATGTTTCTTATGCCGTTAGCGGTTGGCCTGTCTGTATTTTGAGTCTTTGACTATTTTCCTACAAAAATTAAGGCATATATAAACTGTGCGCATTAAAACTGCTTCATTAGTGTGACCGCTCCAACAACTTTTCAAGGGAAGAGCGGCACAACGCTTTCAGTTCCACTAGTTTCAATATCTACCGGCACGCCTTTAGCTGTGCTAGCTGACCTTTCATAATTACAGTATATTGTCGACTATACGAGCCCATAATGGAGTTGATTACACTGTTAATGTTAGCCATAAATGGAATCCATCACGTTGCAGCTAATCCCGACCATCCCTTATCCCGCGTTCGACGCCGCAACGACTGCGCGGCGCCTGTACGTACACCAGCAATCCTCTGGCCCGTGGATGTCGGTTTAGCCGCGGTCATTGTCCGGGACCGGTAGATTTTCAGTGTTGTATGTACACTCAATGCCATGCGCGCGGGAAGACCGGCGTGTGCCGTCCCATCAGCAATCCCGGCACGACCGGCTGTGCCTTCGTCAGCGGAGCCTGCCCGGGTGGGTGGGATTATCAGTGCTGTATCCCGGCCGAGCGGCCGTACTACGGGCACAACTGTGGCCGCAATGCCGGGAACGCGCGGAGCGGATGGATGGATAAGTTCGATCACTGCTGCTACGTCCATGATCGCTGTTTGGAGAGGCCCGGCGCTGGTACCGGCCCCATAACCCATACTATGCATGCTATGGGGTGCCATTGGGACGTCGCGAAATGCCTGATCAATGCCGCCGGTGGGATAACCAAGATAACCGAGATCCCTCTGAGTATTCGTCGGGGTCTGTTTACTCATGATTTCCCGGAGATCGCGCGGGATTTGCTTGGTGGAGAAAGTGAAGAGCACACTTGAGAGAATCTGTTCGTGAAAAACGGCGTTCTCCGTCTACGACTGAGTTGACTCTTTTATTTTTCAATTTTCCAGTCGGCTTGTGCTATGGAAATTTTTTTAGATATAATCGGTCGGAAAACTGGAAATCTTTTACGCAGCATTTTAGTCTAGCTGTGGTTGGAGAAAACGCTACACCCGTGTGAAGTGGTTTGTCTCTGCACCCGAAAAGAAAACAGACTCTAGCTGATTTTTTAATTTGGCATATCAACCATCACATACAGCTTAGGACGAAATGGTCGCATACCCAAAATCTCCACATTCTGTACGAATGCAGCGCTGTCCACTGTACGACTGAGTTCAAAATATCCGGTTCGTACAAGTGCACTGCACCGCTTGCGTACAGAATGCTGGGTATGGGGCTATGCGACCATTTAGTCCTACATTGTAGTGTGTCCGCGCTTACAGCTGATGCTATATACTATTCGAATGGCTACTGCCCACAGAAAGCATTACATTTTATCTGGCTTCAATTCCACACGGTCATCTCGACAGCAGAACCAGCAGTTAAATCTTTACCGTCAAAATCCGAAAACCAATCACACCGCCACATTCAATCGCTCAGAACAGCTTCTCCAGCCCCTCCGTTTCCTCTTCACTCAACTCGTACTTATGCCGGCCCTTCCCGCTGATCTCCGGCAGCGGGTCCACGCCGTGCCGCGCATTCATCACCCGCGTGATGTTGGCGTTGACGTTGCGGAACTCGGTGGTGCGGCGGACGGCCTCCTCGATGGCCTGTACCGTGGGGATCTCCCATTTGGCCGCCACCAGGCTGGTGACGCGCCCGGCACCGCGGCCCCGCGACCGCCCCTGCTCCCCGCTGCCCAGCCGGCCCACCCGTCCCCCGCGGTGGATGTAGTCCGACACCACGCGCGGGAAGTCGTAGTTGATCACGTGGTCCACGAAGGTCGTGTCGATGCCGCGCGATATCACGTCCGTGCCCACCTAAGGTCACCACACAAATCTTCGTCAGTGTTTAAGGCCTTCTTCATGAATTTTATTTCAAACTTAACAGGATTCAATTAAATTTTTTGAGTATTTAATTTATCTTTTTACTTAACTAATTGTTTTATTTACTTTTACTTTAATTTTTTCTTTATTTAATTTATTTTTTGAATTAAGTAATTGTTTTCTTTAATTTTATAAATTTTTAATTTTTTCTTATTACCCGAAACAAGTCATCTGAATTTAATTTTAAATAATCAATAAAAATTTTTAATTAATAGTTCCAGCTTGGTTTCAAATAAATTAAAACGGAATTATAATTTTCCGCTATTGTTACTCAAAACTTGATGTGCCGGCAACGATAACTCGGCTTTAATGAAATAATTACATTATCTGATGAAAAGCAACCGGTAGATGTCAATCTTGATGCCAGCACCACAAAGCTGCGTCATAATTTCTTTTGCGTTATGACGCCATCGTTACGGAAACGCGTACGCCAACTAACTCGTCAGATCTCTTATCACTTTCCGCTTGAGAATCTTAAGACGGCTTTCTTAATCTTACACAATTTAGAGCATGAAACACTAGATAATTTAAATGCATACTTCGAAGTAGTATATGATTTTCACATTTCCACTTTATCGACAAACGCACCTTCCACCACTTCACGAGATATCAGCTTTACATTTACAGAACATATAATACAACGAAAAACTAAATCTAATACAATTTTATAAATAAAAGGTCGATGCTGCGTGCACGGGAAAACACGGGTGTTGGCTGCGTGCACGGGTGTCTGCACGGGTGTTGGCTGCGTGCACGGAGTTTGGACACTGGTGTTGACTGTGTGCACGGGTGTCTACAGGGATGTTGGCTGCGTGCACGGTTTCTCACATTTTTTTTACGTTTGAGTGTTGGCTGATTTGATATTCGAGTCTTCTTACTGTGACTTTCAAGTTGTTTCAAGTACAGTAATACACAGCACTGTATTAGCAAGCACTAATGGCTGGTAACACAGTAGTTATGATATACGACAAAATTTGCAGTACCCGGTTTTGCGGCAAGCAAGTTTTTGATGCGCTTAGGACATCGTCGGAGTACAGCACGCCGTCGCCTTTAAAACGGCATGTTTCAGTAAACTTATGGAGGCCGTTTTATTGTACGGTCTACGAAACTACTGTGGTTTCGAATGGAACCGGGTACTACTTAGTATTTACCAGTGTTTTTGGTAAAAAGTATGGATTTTGTGACAGATTTCTATAGTAATTATTTTAAAAAATCGAAATAAAAGAATAGAAGCATTCTTTTATTAATAATCATCGCACAGTTATGGTAATAAAGAAAGAAACACGCTATCACAATAGCAAAACTTAATTTGTTGAATAATAGAATACGTTGAAGAATAGAATACGTTGAATTATTAGTAAAAAAATTTTATTTAAACAATTTAAAATTAAATAAATTACCCGTGCATGCAGCCAGCGCTCGTGCAGGAATCCCGTGCTCCCAGCCAACACCCGTTCCCAAACTCCGTGCCCACAGCCAACACCCGTGCGGACCCAAAAAGTTCACCCGTGCAAATAGCTAACACCCGTGTTTACCCGTGCACGCAGCCATAATGTTTTATAAATCGCCAAAAATATTCGTACTAGAGGGAATCTCATCAAGCACAATAATGATGTATCCTGATACGGATCGATTTATCAGCATTTTTGAGTGCAACCGTCGAGCCTCTACACTACATTACATCACGGATACTCCTTATTAACGAACTGATCAAGCCACAAACAACCAACAAAATCGCTTTTCAAGTTTTCAACATAATTACCGAAGTATTCAACTAGCTAGCGGACAGCCAGAGGAGCCAACTACCTCTTGTTAAAAATCCGAATAAAATAAACGTTTATCAAATAAAAATAATCCTACAATAAAAAAATCATAAACCGTAACCTATCATTAAAATAAATAAAGAAAAAGTTAACAGAATAATCTATGAAATAATTATCTGCAAAATCTTCGTAAGAAAAAACTTATCTTAAAATACCGATATCAACAAAATGTCCCTAAAATAATCTCCAAATTACGAATATTTTTATTCAGAATAACAGTTTAATAATCACCTGGTCAGTCCAAGAGGACAGCAACAACACTACCAACTCACCATAATATTAATCCCGCCCTTCTGGAACGCCGCGTACCGCTGCGCCCGATTCCCGGCCTGCACCGACTTGGCGATCAATTCCGCCGGCAGCCCGTTCTCCTGCATGAACCGCGTCAGCCAACTCGCCACCGCCGTCGTCCCACAGAACACCATGGTCACCAGCCCGCCCTTCTGGTCCGCCCGCACCAACTGCAACAGCTTCTCCGGCTTCTCATCCTTCCCCACGCGCAGGAACGTCTGCAGGACATGCGGCTGGATGCGGTGTGTGTGCTGCGTTTTAATCCGCACCAGTGTGTCCACATCGACGACTCCGTCCAGGATTTTGGAGAGACTGAGGGGGGTGGTGGCCCCGACGAGGAGGAGTTGGGCGGCGGGAGATTGGTGGAGGGTGGTGGGGTCCGGGCTGCCGTCGGCGGCCGGTTGGCAGGTGAGGGGGCCTTCGTGTAGCGGGATGCGGGAGAGGAAGTCCCGGGTCAGGTGGTTGAAGGAGTCGTCCAGGAGGGTGTCGCATTCGTCCAGGATGACCGTCTGGATGTGGGAGAGGGTGTAGGCGTTCTTGGCCAGGAGGGTGGAAAGGATACCTAGGGGAAGGAAACTTATCCGCTGTGCAACGGATTTTCTATAACTGCAATTTCAGTTCATTATGGTTCTATTATAATTATTTCTTTTTTATTTTCTTATAAATACTTCACTTTCTTGTGATTTTCTTAGGTTTCTTGTAATTTTTTGACTGCTTCTGATTATTTTATCATTAACATTCTTATTATTTTTGTTTTTAACCGCACAAAGAGACAACAGACGAGAACTTCCATAACAAGCACCGCTCAATAGCGTTGCCGCATTGTTATATGAATACTGATTATCTGTGCCAGGACTTCGGCCCCTCTCCTTTGAGGCAAAGGATCTCGGCTTCTACTTCACCAATTTTGTTGCTTTAAAGTACATCAAAATTCTCTAGGTGTAGCGGTGGATCCAAGATTGTTGACTTTTTGCCAAAATCGTTTGTCTAGGTCCAGTGGTCAATCATAAGCTTGTTACCATGGACGCGATAAGAAATGCACACTGTCCTAACACAACTTGACCGAAAACAGCAGAAATATCTGAGCTGCTACTTAACAATAACTAATAAGTATCTGTACGAGTACAATACAAAGTAAAAATTCATGTAACTTAACACGTTATAGTCATCATCACGTTAGTGATCATTGCAAGTTATGTACTGTATATACTATGTACAAGTAGACAGTCCGTGTTTCGATTAACTTATGTAAAGTGTATCATAATATCTATATTACTAAACATACGTACGGGTTTATTATGACAGTATGTAAGCGACCGCAAAGCAACACATCCTTGGAATTACTTAGTTTTTAATAGTCATCGGCCAATATTCATCCGTGCTGGGCTTTAATAAATTTAAATAAAGCGAAAAGTCCAACTTCAAATGGCTGTACAGCCTGTACTTATTAAAACCGTTACTTATGTGCGTAAGATAAAGCGAACAATTAAACTAATTAAACAATAAAAAAATGAACATCGACTCGAAACCTGCACGAAAACTTCCAGCAAGTTACAGCGATACCGCCATAATTCACGCCATAGTAACGCCACTGTACTACGTTTCACTTCATTCCACGCTGAAGTACTCTGGTATTTGAAATTGGTTAGTGTAAATATGATAGTACATGATAGGAAACGTAAAGTAGTACATGATAGAAAAACGAAATTTATTTTTTCGTTTTATTTCGGTCGATGAATTTAATTTAATCTTTTAATTAAAGTTCGCAGTCAGTAAAATTACTGGAAACAGCGGCGTTGATACATAGTCACCGTGCGAAATCCCACAAATAAAATAAACTAAACAGCGAATTCACATAACCTAAGCAGTGATACAGCGCAAAAATTAAAAAGAACGGTAAAAAATGGATGAATGAATTTTACAGTATTGCCCAAGACCTATTTTGCGTGTTCACTGTTACAGGAAGGAAGGACCTTGCGTTAAGCCATCGCTCTACGTTATAACCTTCTGACACAGTACAACCTTACTGACTATGTCAGAAGGATGCGAGCACGTGAAAAACGTGAACACTAATTACGAAAAAATATGTCGGATCGTATTTTTAAAAAACCCGGGAATACAATTCACAAAAATCGCTAAAATTAAAACTTCACCTGGAGTGATAATAAGCAGATCCACCCGCCCCGTCTGCGGCTCCTTCACCTTGCGGAAGTGCCGGCCCCCGCCGACCCGCTTCTCCACCTGCAGCACCTCATCATACTGCAACACCCGTCCCACCACCTCGAACACCTGGTCCACCAGCTCCCGACTGGGCACCAGCACCAGCGCCCGCGGGGCATTGGGCGCGAACTCCCGACTGCGCGGTTCCGTCATGAGCCGGTGCAGGGTGGGCAAGAGGTAGGCCAGGGTCTTGCCGCTGCCCGTCTCCGCCGAGAGCACCGCGCTCTCCCCGGCCAGGAGCGGGGGGATGGCGCTGTTCTGGATGGCCGTGGACGCGTCGAATTGGAAGTCGCGGAGGGCCTGTTGGAGGGTGGGGTGCAGGGGAAATTTTTCGAAGCCAGGTTGTTCGTCGTGGAAGGAGTGGGAGAGGGAGGGATGGCCGCCGAACGGGATGTAGGGCCGGATCTGGAACCAATCGCCCTTGCTTTTCGGTTGTTTCCAGCCTTGCGACGCCAACTTCAGTGTCAGGAATCTGAACAAGTGACCAACAACCGCGTTCAATACGAGGTACCGTAAAATGGTAGAAAATGCTGCGTGGTTCCTGCTGAGAAGCTATTTACTATTGTTTTTTGCACTTTACCAATTCAAAGCAGTTCTACCTAGTATTCTACTAGTATAATATTTAGAATATAATGCATCTGATAAAAAAATGAAAACATATTGTGGATAAGTGCAGCATCGAATTATGTATAGTTCAGATAAGGGCGCAACGACCAGTTACCTCTAAAATGTAGCCATTATACTACGAAAACTCGCTGGACTTTAAAATAACGAATTTACAATTTTAGTTGAGATTCTTGAGAAAACGGTAATTCTTAAGGAAACCGTTATAGGCACCCCCTAAAACCCCCGTTTATTATAGGCACCCCTTTTCACACCCCGTTTATTACAGGCACCCTTTTTAATTTAATATATGTATATATAACAGATTTAGTATTCTCAAATGGCAGTGCAGTTTTATTCGGATAATAGTATAAGGATTCTTTCTGGCGTCGAGACGGTCGAGTTACATACATCATTCTTTCCAGCCTATAATAGGACGGTTAGGCAAATCAGCCAGCGCAGAACGAATTGGTATGGCGTCTTCTATTGTGACTAGAAGGTCATCTTTCGCTGTAGCCAGCTCATTCACCGCCTTACTCCCGAGCCGTTTAGGACACTTTCTCAGCCTGTGCAACTTCTGCCAACCATTCCCTTTGAGCTGAGGCTTTTGCGAATACAGTGTTTGCCGGCGACACTCCAGAGATCAGTTCAGCAATGTAGGAACACACCATCGGGCCGCACTGATTAGACCCGGCAACTGAAGCTGGATAATCGGAAATACTACGGTGCCCGGATTCTGTTCGCCACCGTACAGCATGGACAGCTGCAGTTGGACGTGCGGCGACAGCGGACCATTCAGGATGGTTTCGTCGGCTATGAGTGAATGTCCGAGCGCCAACACCTTTATTTTCGTATTCTCTGTGGTGCACGCATTCGTAGAAACTTTCTGTACTTAAGGGATGGCTCCAGAGCTTCTCCGTTCTTGAACTTTTCGGACCGTCGTATTATGAATGTTTGGAACGTCGCTTCCTGATACGTCTTAAAGTCTTTCTCGAATGCTTCAAATGAAGGATATTCGTCCTTCAGTTCAGCGACGTTGTCGAGCAAGGGGAATACTAAATCAGTTAGGTCTTCCGATGGCCCCGACACCGGAGGGCTACTTGAACCCGCCATAATAATTATGATATTTGCCGGTACTGAGAACATAATTATTGATACCTATGTAATAATTACGTACAGTATGTGTAACCCTATTACACTGACCTTTTGTCCAAAGTAAGTTTTAACGGTCACAGCAACTGTATAAAATGATAAAATAATTTTTGGAATATGTAAATTAAAATCCATTCACATAATATTATTATAACTTCAAATTCAGAAAAGGGTGCCTATAATAAACTGGGTGTGAAAAGGGGTGCCTATAATAAACGGGGGTTTTAGGGGGTGCCTATAAGGGTACCCAATTCTTAATGATCTTCTGTTTTTTTATTTTTTTAACGTTTTTTTTTACTGTTCAAGTGATATTTGAAATAAATTGGCACAGAATAATAATTATTTGAACAATATCTCCGCTCGACTTATGCTTTACACAAAATCTGAAGATATTAATATTATTAATAATTTGGTGTAGTACGAACAGAAATCACAAGCCGCAATGATGACAATTTTAAATCAGTTCATTTTTTAAACATGCACAATTTAATGGCCGCAGTGACTAGTGAGCATATTGTGCAATTCCTGCCTATAAAGAAACCATGGTTTTCTGATTTCCTTACCGTGGATTTTGTTTGGGATGGGTGATCTTGTGTCCCTTGCGCCCCTTGGGCAACGCCAGAGGGGCTCCCAGACGGTGGTTAAATTCGCGGTTCTTGCAGGCGATCACCAGGGGCCGCTCACTGATGCGGCGCCGATCCTCCCGCGCCCATTCATCCAGCTGCCGTTTGCGCTCCGCGACCCGCTTCACCTTCCCCTGGAGACGGGTGGGGAGGCGGATAATTGGGAGGCCGGAGGGTGTGTGCTCGGCGAACTCCTCATCCTGGGAGCGCGTATGCCGCATCTCGCGTCCGGGGAATAGACATGCCGAGACGGAGAAATTTCGTTGAGCGAAGACAGTGGAGAAGGTTGGGGGATGGGAAGAAGCGCGCGAGGAACCCAGGGGGGTTCGCGGGACAAGAGTTTCTGGCAGGACACGAGGAGTGTCCAGCTGATGGGATACAGTTGAGAAGCCACATGTTTTCTGCAGATCTGGATAGCGGCGGATGGTCGGGAGATGGCGGATGATGGAGAGGAGTCGGGATGAGAGAAGCATGGTGAAATCGAAAATATTCCCGAAAATAAACTTAAATTCACAAAAAATTCACAAACGCGAAATAATCACAACTGATCAGTCGCATGTCTATCCTCAAAGAAATTCCTGAAGGTGATTTGAATTTTAAAGCCCAAGAGAAAAAAAGGAAAAGATGTTTACTAATTTGCCACAAAAAAAACCAAGAACAGAAGAACTGAAAAATTCCAAATTGTGAGCTTTGCTCACTTTGCTGTCTTTGCAGTTTGCTGTTTACTGCATTTTTCAGTTTCTTGATTTCGCAAAACAGCCGTAGCGAGCCGAGCCCTTATGAATTCACTGAGCGGTAACACCAGTCCAACCGCCCGGTGCGGCTGCTGCGCAACGGCAGCCCTGCAGCGCCTGCACTCCTGCAGTCAACAATTTGCCAATCACCGTCGTTTCTCCGTCTTTTCATTTATCGCTTGCGAGAGTAACAGCAAGTTTCTCATCTTTCTGCTTCTACTCCACTTTTCGACCATCTGTTTTCTTTTGTGGTATTCCTTGAACATTTTGGAAGAACGTTTTTGGTATTCCGCATCCTATCTGACGGTCCGTCCGCGGTGGATGCAATCAGGACGTCATCAGCTGCAGGATTACGCATAACTGCGCGTCGCTACAGGCTACAGCAGATTCCCATGGATTTTCCCGTTGTTTTGTCAACATACAGCGGACCAGCGGTTTCTTGATCCTCTCCCTGTTTCTCCAGATAGCTAACTGTTACGGCAATCGTACGCGAAAGGTAAATACTGAAATTGTACGGGCTGTTAAGAAGGTTATGCCGCAACTTTGTGCTGCAACTTCAGACTTCCAGTTTGCGGGTTGCTGCGGTTTTGCTGCTTTTTGCTGTTTATGCCTACACCGTACAGTGATAACCTGTACACTGCGTTATACACATTCAACAGCTGTTTGCTGGTTTTGTCAGCTGTTTGCTGGTTTGCAGCTTAATTTTTTACAGGAAGATTTACTGTTTTTTTCAGATGCATATGAATTGATTATTTTTTAACATAAATTATTTTTGATTTATTTTGAACCTTCCAAAAAATAATGTATATTAATTAACATTAATATTTTTCGAGAAATTAATTCATAATTTAAGAAAATACAACCCAGCTTAACCAAAATATAATAATTAATAAAGATATTAATCAATAAAAAAGTGACAATTAATTAAGTAAAAGTTTAAGAAACAACAGAAATTTTGACTGGCTTTTATTTAAATTTTTTTTCGAGCAGTTCCGTTTTTTAGTGGCACGATTACGAAATTTGTATTCGCGAGATTCTCGGCGTTTGCACGGTTTTATACATAATAATGATAATATTGATCAGATGAGTGCTGACTTAATTTTGCCGGTGGACGTGCCTGGTGGTTCGCCGTAGAGCGTAATCACTAATCAGCTTATCAGCGACTACAGCGTACAGCGGCTACGCTCCAGTATTTACTCAGTTGTAATATTGTAGTAGTTATTGGTGCATTCCGAATGAAAGCCGATCAGCTGGGAATTCTTGATTAAATTGTTGGCATTAGCAGAAGCTCCCGCAGTTGAAAGCCTGTAGTACAGTTACGTTGTGCACTGAAGCGCATTTACTCGTATTATTAATAATATTCATTACTGTGATGGAAATCTTGGAATTTTGCCGTCGGTACATAGGAACACAGGTATTTTACACTTTTAATCTGGTAGTTAATTTTGCCTTTTTAGCAGAGGTGCGCAGTTGTTCTTGTTGTGAAATCTTACAGTAAATCCGTATAAATGGTTACGATGGAACACGGAATTTTTGCCAGTAAAGGCTCGTCGTTTTGCCGTAATCATGTGCTTAAAAAACCAGTTTTCTTCAGTCGATCGGCTGTAGAACGTGTTTTTGTTTACTTACATCAATACAAACTGCGCATGTCACGACGTCGGCTATTTATAAATTATTTATTAAAATGGATTTATGAATTCAAGCGAGCACGATTATTCACATACGCATAATTACAGTAATTTTATGTTACGCTGCTGCTGGTCAGCTTGTGTAATGTTACTCTAGTAGCATTCGCTGTTTCGAAAGTTCCTTGTGTATGGAAAAAAATAACACGACACAATTCGTGCAATTATAAAAGATAGATTTAAAAAATTTAAAATAGTATAATAATTTGTACAATTATAAAAGTGTACGCTGCGAAAATTTAATGGAACAGCAAAGCAGATAGCTTTTCTTCTGGTTTTCTTGTGATTTTTAGCGGCAGTTTTCAGTGCAGTTATATGGGGTTAATTTGATCTAATTGTGCACTGATAAGGCTTTTCATTTCCGGTTGCGATCAGAAAATACGCACGCTGTACGTACGTATAAAACTTCAACAATTATTGCACGAATTGCCGCGTGCCGTCGGTTGTTTGATCGACGTTGGGGCTTATTTGATTTTCAACGCGGGTACTCATTCATCCCTTGGATTCCGGCACTTATAATGTACCGCGTATATATTTGTATTTCTTTTCCCAATATCAATAGTAAACGACTGAGCTAATCAATACCCCGGCTGATTTTTCACCAGCTCATGTGTTTTCCATGATGGATGGATTAAATGGATTGCTCACGATGCGTTCGGCATTAAAATCTGTTGAAACATCTATACGAAAGTTGAGTTTCTTGCAATCGTTAATTGCGACAAGGTTACTATTTCTGGCGGGTCACGATCGGTTAAAAATATTTGTAATTGGCGTCCACATTTGCCAGCACAAGGTTTCTTCGTGTGACCTTTGATGTCTGATAACGCGGCCTTTTTTATGGTGATTCTTGATGCCTGATGGCGAAGCCGTTCGTCTTTGATAAAAATTTTACCAGTGTATTAAATCGGATTTGAATTTGGGCGAATTAGGGTTTGTGGGTGATGTTTATCGGGATTAATCTGATTTTACCGTTAGCCACCAGCGGTGTGCTCGGGTTGACTGAAATAACCGAAGCCGCTCGTGCAATCGATCGTTAATTAGGTGCTTTTATTAGATTGTTGTTCGTGTATGAGAAACAGCCAGTACGTATTTCTTTTGCTGCTTTTGTTGAATTTTCTTCCGTTTTTTGTATAAAAATTAATTGCTGATATTTGGAAATAGATTATTTAACTGTCGAAGATGCAAAAAATAATACTTTAACGTGTAAAAAAAATCGCCAACGTTTCTGATTCGCTTTTAAAAATAAAATTTTTATTTTTTTTAAACTGAAAACAGTTTATTTTTGGGCAAAAGATAAAGTTCTTTATTTTACAGCCAGAATAAGCCAAGGTTGTAACTCCTAATTTTGCCGGTTATATTTTTTTGTGCCCGAGTATTTCTTTATTTTATCGCCTAATTTTCGGAATTATTTTTCAATTTAGCTATTTAATTTTCTGATTTATTGTTTGATTTATCTATTTAAATTTCTGATTCCCGGCATTTTTCGCGCTTTTATAGACTTGATCATGCATGCCCATTCTCTGCCGGACCTCTCCGTGCCGCCGTCGGAAGCGGCGGCGGATAATCAGTGTCGCATGTCGCGGATTATTCGTCGGATATTGCGCTACTTCCACTGGGTGGAAAAGCCTCCGCTCCGCGAAGAATCCAGCCCCGCACTCCTGCCGCTGACCACGGAAAAAGCCAAAATGCCGCTGCGGACGGCGCATTCCGACGGGGATCTGATGGGGAAGCATTCCGCGGTGAATTTGCTGATTTATGCGGAGAACGCCGTGGAAGTGTGGGATGAGCCGCCGGAGAAGCTCCGCGAGACATGGTCGGGACGGTTCGAGTTCTTCCTCATGTGCATCGGATATTGCGTCGGATTTGGCAATGTGAGCTAACGCTTCTAAAAATATTTTTGTATAATAAATATTTTTTGGATTATTTTGACAGTAAAACATTTTTATTTGATTTTGTATAGTTATTAGCAAATTTATTTATTTTTGAAGTAAGAAATAATAAACATAATATAATTCAGATTAATGAAATCATATTCGTATTATCGTATAATGAAAGTGCAGTGTACATAAAAATTTGGTATACTTAAAAATTGTAGTGTTGGTAGTAGATACCGTATAAACTTTCCGTTCGGAAATGAATGATTTTAACGGAAGAGCTATGATCCTTTAACTGAAGAGATACTAGCCTATGGAGCCTTTGTACTACGATTTTCACATTTTTTAGTGCGTAATACAGATTCTCATTTTGTTTGTTTTGCAGATTTGGCGCTTTCCCTTTCTGGTAAATATTGATGCCTTTTGCGCGTGTGAGATGACAATAAGAAACACACATGCTGGATATTTGCAGGTGTACCGCAATGGAGGAGGTTTGTGGCTTTGTGCAATTAAAAATGCAAATAAATAGAAGAAAGTGCTGAAAAATACTTTGACGCTTGTAAAACGCAGTCGTGCATAGTCCACAGACGTCTTTTAAAATTGATTTATTTTTTTTATAAAATTATCATGGTAATTATTAGGTGTTTATTTATATTTTCTTATATATTATTTAAATCTTACTATTTTTATTTTGATTATTACTAAATTTTTATTTTATATTTTCCATTCGATATGTCTTTTTAAGGATTATTTATACTTTATTTTTTGTTCTTTATTTTAGCCATGAGGCTCGTAGTTTTAAGATTTACTGAAAGCTTTAATTTGTGTGAATGATTGCAAGGAGTGTAGCAAATCTTGAGCGGAATTAATCGATAATTGTCCGTGAACTTGTTCGCGTTGCAGGAGCCTTTCTCATTCCCTACTGTATATTCCTGGGTAAGGTTTTTCCCCCGTCTGCCGCACATTACCGGCACAAGTACGGCGCCTTATTGATTTTTCTTTTTGCAGTGTTGTGCGGCATTCCCCTGGTGCTGATGGTAAGAGTGTTGTTCGCGTAGAAGGGAAACCCAACACCTGGCATTGTCATGGTGATGCAGGCTGTGTGTACATTGACTCTTGCAACTTCCACAGGAAATGGCGCTGGGACAGTTCTCCAGTCTGACGGCCATCCATCTCTTCGGACAGTTCAGTCCGTTGTTCAAAGGTCTCGGCTTCTCCATGGTCATGATCTCCTTCTTCGTCTGTATTTATTACAGTAAGCAATACGAAACGCGGCAAACAAAAATTCCAAAAAAAATGAAAAAGTGTGGTTTTTGTAGTTAAAAAATGGGGATTCTCAGGTTTCGTTTCGCATGGAAATTTCTCGGCTCTAGAGTATTGCCGAATAATGAAAGCGCTAAACAAATAAGCGCTGCGCTTTTTAATAAGATTTAATGATAGAATAAGTTATAAAAAATATAATTAACTTTTATAAAACAAAGGAATTAAATTTAATTCGAAAAATTAAGTTTAATTGGTAGTAAATTTGTTTTTCTTTTGAATGCTATGCCACATTATTTTGAGATCTGGGAATTTCTTGGTCCTGTAGTACTGGCGAAAATAAAAGCGCAGAACAAATGAACCCTGCACTTTTTTAAAGGCATAATTAACTGAAAAAGCGAATAATAAATACAGTTAATTTTTGAGAAATAAAATGAAAGAATGAAAATAGAATTTAATTTTATAGTAAATTTGGTTTTGTTTGGAATTTTGCCACAAGTTATTTTGAGGGTGTCTTGTTTGCTTTGTGATAAAAACATAGGTGATGCCGGCAATATTTTGATAAGCAACGGTAGTCTCTGTAACAGTTATATTCCGGTAAATTTAAATTCCTTTTTTTAATGGAATTCCTCTTTAAATTCCTCTTTATTTATCTTTGTTTTTTTGGTAGATACGATTTTATCGTGGGTGATTTATTATTTGTACGCGTCATTCTCGTGGACGCTGCCGTGGAGTGTCTGCGATAAATCCTGGGCATCCGCGCGCTGCTTCACGCCCCAGTCACCCGACAATACGTCGACTGTTAATCAAACATTACTGGCGGACGGGAATCATTCCCAGCTGGATGAACGGAGTGTGATCGATCGCTACATTTTCAAGGACAACCGGTCACAGGTTCCCTCATCCGAGGAGTTCTGGAAGTTAGTAAAAAATAACCGATACTCAGGGATTTTTTTGCGTAATGTTAACATTCTAGAATTTCATCACATTAAAGCGTCATTTATTTACATTTAATTATTCCAAAAACGGTAAAAAGAACAAAGATTATTTCGAATGTCGGTAAACTTATGTCGACAAATCAGACCCGTCAGCGTTAATGTTTTTTTGCATTTTTTTATTGTATTTGGATTATGACTGAAAGGCCACACTAGGTAATTTAATCAGCAAGGATTTAGTTGCGTCGGAACGAATTAAATGTGGCTGAAATTAAATGATATAATTTTATCATTTCACAGAACCATCGCATGAGCCTATAAATTATAATTTTAATATTATCTGTTACTTCTTAACTAAAGGTCTAAATTCTGATAGTATTTTTATGAATCTAGAGTTGGTAACTTTTATAATTTATTATTTTTTACTCGTCATTTTGTAATTTTTTTTAATTGATTCGGCTACTGTTTCCTGGTACAGATTTGGACTTTGCTATAAACAGACTGTTTTCGTTTGTAGTCGGCACGTTTTAAAATTATCCAGCGGCGTAGATGACTTTGGATCTCTGCGCACGGAGCTGGTGATCTGCCTGCTGGTGGCCTGGATCAGCGTGTTCCTGTGCAGCTGCAAAGGTCGTTCGCCTGACGCGTGACAATATTGCGTTGTTTTCCTTGACAAGCGGCCGTCTAATGAGCGTGTCGTGGCTGCAGGCATCAAGACGTCGGGCAAAGTGATCTACTTCACGGCGATCTGTCCCTTCTTCATGCTGATTGTCCTCTTCATCCGCGGCATGACGCTGCCCGGCTCCGCCAGCGGCGTCTGGCTCTTTCTCCAGCCGGATTTCGCGCGCCTCAAGGATTTTCGAGTAGGCATAGGATTTTGTATCTGTAATTTTTTCTAATTTATGATTTTTCTCACAAATTTTTTGGATTTGTCGTTTTTAAGAACGATTTTTCGATTATTTTAAAAATTTTTGAAAAAAGTTATTCTAAAAAAGTTTTTAAAAAGTTTTTTTGTTTGTTTTTTGTTTAATTTTCGCGCGCCTAAGGATTTTCGATTAGGCAGGTGATGTGTTTTTGTCTGTCGATTTTTATTTATGATTTTTCTCGTAATTGTATTGGGGTTTTCATTTTTAGAAATGTTTTCTTTCGCTTGTTATAAACATAATTGTAATGTTATTCTAAATGTTATCCCAAAAATGGTCCAAGAAGTTGTGCAGTTTGTTTTTGGTTCGTAGTATTTTATTTTTATTGAAACTGTTGTTTTTAGTATAATTTCCTCGTAATAATAGGGGTTTTCAATCTGTTTTCTATTGAAGTACTTATGTGTAAATGAACCCTATTTTTTGCGACGACAGTTGCTGTAATTATGGTAGATGTGTGTAGTGTAACGGCTTGACTACGGCTTGTGGCATAACGAAAGAAGGGCAGTCAATGCAGTACCCGGCGATCATTATATTGTTCTTATTCTGGTGTAGAGATTTTCATGTTTTGTTTTTTACAAATTCCTGTTCATGTTGCTGGTTGGATGTAAAGTTTTCTGATTCGCTGTTTTTGGTAGCTGTTTTGTCTGGTGGCAACATTGTCTTTGTCGACTGTCGTAGGTATGGATGGATGCCGCTATGCAGATTTTTTACGCCATGGCGCCGGGATGGGGCGGATTATTGTAAGTGCTTTTCTCATTATAATCTGAATTTATTCCTTATAGAAAAATTATTAAAAGTCAGGCTTAGTCAGCATAAGATAATAGCTCAGAAAGTTTCTGTTCGTTTTTAAGCGTCGTATATATGCGAAAACATTGGAATTGGTCCATTTTTGTGGGCTTTTTCCAGCGACGTGTATGAGTTTAGCAGCAATTTTCCCACATCATTCAGATACGGGAATACACTAAAATTTTAATTTTATAAAATTAGTGATTTTGATAATATTTTTTTCCTACCTGTACCTTTGAGGCGGTGTTTGTTTGTATTAGTTCATTTACCGGTAGTTGCTATATTCTTGAACTACGTGGGATGCTGAACCGCTTTTCTCGTGGTGCATTTTAACCTCAGTATCGCGGACAGTATTGGCGATCGTCGGTTACTGGATATTTGTTAAAATTTTTGTTTGCAGGAGTTTTGCATCCTACAATGGATTCCATGTCAACGTTTATAAGTAAGTAATAATATCTTATTTTTTTCGTAAATAATAAGAATAATCAGTAAATGATATCCAGTTTAATAATCAGTCTTAACTGATTGATGATTAACGAAAAAAATGTTGTGCTGAACTTTTATCGTTTTGGTTTGTTGGGGCAGTATTATTCGCTGGAGATTACGCACAGCTGTACGATGCCCTTATTCTACGATATTCACATCGTTTGTGTTGTATGTTGTAATAGCAGCGATTCCACCTACCCGGTTGTCACCGCGCTTTACAATATAGTGTTTTAACTTTTAATTTAAAAACGGCTTTAAATAAAATAAATTATACATAGTATAATCTAAATCCGGAAGTTAGTTTTTATTTGAGAAAAAGAGGCGATGGGTAGTCCGTCCGGTAATGTCATCGGAAACTTAATAATACTAAATTTTGTCGACAAAAATAAAAATTTTCTCCGGTGCGCAAATGTTCTGGACTCTTGACAGGTACGGCGTGATGATTCCCATCCTGAATTTCTTAACCAGCATGTTGGGCGGATTGGCGGTGTTCTCGGTGATCGGTTATCTGAGTCATCGGAGCGGACTGCCGGCTAGTCAAGTCGTCGCCCATGGTACGAATGCACTGCATTTCAACAATAAAACTAGAAATAATAAATTACAAATCTAATAAAATTATTTAAACAAAGACAAATGAAGTGAAATTTGGACAGACACACGATCCTTTCGTCGGTAGAGCCACATAGTAAAACTGTTTGTTTTCTTTGTCCTTGGGAATTAATGAAACAAACAGCTTTGGAAACTGACTGGGAAATTTCATGCGTAACCGAACAAATTGCCTGGATAGTTTCTTAATTAAAATTATTAATAATGTTTTTTTGAATGTTTTGGATTGAAGACTGGTGTGAATTACAAAGTTACCGATCGCAGGTCCGGGTTTGACGTTTGTCGCGTATCCCGAAGCCCTGTCGCAGCTGCCCTTCGCGCCGGCCTGGTCGGTGCTGTTCTTCTTCACCCTCTTCACCATCGGCATCGACAGCCAGGTGCAGAATTGCATTTATAATTCGGAAAAATTGAATTAATCATCTCCTGGGAATTCGGCAGGTGGGAATGTTTGAGACGTTCGCCTCCGGCCTGGCGGACGAATTCCCGGCCATCCGGCGACACCGGCTGCTCTTTGTCGCCGCGTCCTGCGCGCTGCTCTTCATGCTGGGGTATGTTGCAAGAGAAATAGACGTCTGACGATTTTCTACCATTAAAATACAAGCAGGTTACAGAAATGCAGCTTTAACGTGGAAAACGCTTGTCTGTCTGTAGAGCACATATTGTAGAACAGTGGCAGATTGGGAGGGTCGAAATCATTCCTTTGCATATATGCAGCCATATGATTGGAAATTTAGAATGATCTCCTGTTAATAATTTGGTTAAATTTTATGCTTTTTTTGTGTGATGTAGCATTACACCGTAGCGTTCACAGATGTTATTAGATTTTGGTAAAACGATCATGCATCCAGCCGTAGTTTATCGTAAAGGGAAAAACCCCGATTATATTTTTATTTTTTTCCAGTACTTCTTTCGATTGAAATGGGTATTTGAAATTCGCTATTATTTTTTGAAAACTGGAATATTTCGCTTTTAATCAAATGTAGTTGTGAGTTGAAAGCAGTAACCGGCAGTAGGTCTTTAAAAGTTAAAACTAATAATAGGTAGTATGTATTATTGAATGATAATATTCTCAGTCGTCAGATAGACTGCTGCCTATGTATATCTGAAATAAAACGCGACAGCCGTAGTCATAATTTAATTAAATAAATATACAAAAAAATGAGAGAATAAATCTATTATGGGCCAGTAATATTATTGTTGGGCGGTGCTGTAGGTTGGTGTGCGTGAGCGAAGCCGGCATGTACTGGGTGCAGGTGATCGACTGGTACAGCGCCTTTTTAACCCTCCTCGTCATCTGCCTGGTGGAGTGCTGCCTCGTCGGCTGGGTGTACGGGGCGGATGCCCTGCGCGCCGACATCCAGCAGATGATCGGCCGGGGCATCCCCCGTTTCTGGTCCTTCTGCTGGCGCTATTTAACGCCGGCCACGGTGGCCGGGATCCTCTTCTGCGTCTGCTACTTCCACGTGCCCGTCACCTACGAGGGCTACGTGTTCCCGCGCTGGTCACTGGTGCTGGGATGGGCGTTGGCGGTGAGTACTTTAGCGTACACCGTTAATGCGCTAATTTATTATTCCTATATGCTTATGTTTATTCCTCTATTTTTTTTATTTATTATTCCTGTGTGTGCTATATTATGTATCCCTATATTTTCTTACTTATTATTCCTGTAGTTATTGTATTATTTATTCCTGTATTTTTAATTATTTATTCCTATATTTTTTATTCCTCTATTTTTAATTATTTATTCCTATATTTTTTATTCCTGTATTTTTAATTATTTATTCCTATATTTTTTATTCCTGTATTTTTAATTATTTATTCCTATATTTTTTATTCCTGTATTTTTAATTATTTATTCCTATATTTTTTATTCCTGTATTTTTAATTATTTATTCCTATATTTTTTTATTATTTATATTCTATATTGTTTCAAGCGATTAAGGTCACAATTTGTACAAAATTAAAATTTTTAATTTTATCAGCTTCTGATTGATCGAGTCTGATGTCAAAAACTGAACTGAAAGTGAAATATAAGTTAATATTTATTAATTTTCAAACGATAGTTTTGTTGTTCGAAAGCACCGACATCATTTGAAATGACTGAATTCACTATGCAGGCCGCTGTTCTACAATTGTTATGCCGTTTCTCACAAAGTTTGCGACACTGCTGCAATATTGCGCTCGCTAATTTAACTCCCTTTCAGTTTGTGAACCGCTGGAATGGTAGCTGCTAGAATAATTATTTTGTAATAGATTTTATTTCGATAACGTTAAATTCGTTAAAAGTGCTAAATTTGTTAACATAAGACTGCATGTTCGTTTTATTTTTAACATCTGGGCAGTCATTGCCAGTCGTCAAATCTTTTCCGCTTTCTTCGCTTATAACTATTTCACACTTTATTGTATTACAACAATTTTAATCGAACTTTTTTTGTATTAAAAAATTATTTTTTACTTTTTGAAATCATTTTAACACGCGAAGGCCCATTTGATTTTGACCATGAATTTGTATTAGCGTTTTATAACCTTAAATTTTGAAAATTTGAATTAAAAACTGGAAATTTATCCTTGTATTCAGAAATCGCTGATTTTATATGTCGCTTCATACTGCCAAAGCAGTCATTCCCTTTATCGATATTAATTACAAATACAGTGGTCGATTTTTTTCTTTGTGATTTGTGGTAAATAATTAATTTTAAAATTCTTTATTGTTTTTGATTTCAAAATATAAGAGATTTATTTTTTAATACTGTAAATGTACTTCTACTAGCAGATGCCGTTTTCGCTTGAATCCAAAAGGCTACGAACCTACAAAACATTAAGCATTGTTTATATAATTAAATACTCTTTAAATATTCAAGTCCGAATTTCTGCCTGCAGTTGGCGACTATGCTGCCGATTCCCCTGTACGCCCTGTACAAAATCACCCACACCCGCCACCAACCTCCGGACGACAAACGGCCCCGGAAAATCTCTGGCGCAGCGTGTGGCGCATGATGCGGTGCACGGAACGCTACGGCCCGATGCGGCCGGCGGACCGCGCCCTCTACGTCGAGCGGACACAGCAGCCGCCGGAAAACAGTCCGCACCGCGTCTCCGCGTGATCAGACAACTGGATATTTCTCTGTGAATTAATTATTTCCAAAGAATCTCCACGGTATCCCCGTCCTCTGCTGCTTGTGATTGCAAATTTGCAACCGGCATCACTGCCACCAGGTTGACCCCCCATGGGGCGGCGGTGCGACGGAATGGGTCCTCTTTTTTTCTGGTATTTTTAAATGATATTGGCAATTTGTTGATACATTCATTTGTGTGGTTTAATCTGATTTTATCCGAAATCTTTCCAGGGAATTTTAACAAAATTGTGTGATAAATTATACCGAGTATAAATATTAGGAAATTGAGTGTATCGCATGTCGGGTTTTGAGAAGCGGTGGATGACATTTTATTCATAATAAAATTACTGGCGGTTGTAAGATGTAAATTGCGCTGGAATATTACTCGTATTTTACCGGTTTTTCTCGCGGAGTTCAGTATGTAGTTTGTGAGTGAAAGCTGCGAATAAAAGGGGGACTGAATTTTAATTCAAAGTAATTGAACAGTTAATTAATTAAGAATTAAAACAAAAATGCATAACGCCAGCGAATATTATTTTTTCAACGCGCGATATTAGTGCAGCAAGTAGAGGCCAGGGACGCTGTAAACCGCTCTTCTACAAGATTTCGTAGTGTCTAGTTTGCCGGTGTTGTTGCCTGGAGACCGGCATTTGACGCGCTTCCCACAACTGCACGCAGAAGGCCTCCATGAGGAGCTAAAATCTTGGCTAAAACTACTTACTTACTTTAATAAAATTTTCGGCTGGTTTTAAAAGCTTAAGTAAATTGTCCCTGTGAATATTAGTGTGCACTTTTTCTGAAATTTTTATGGCTGTTGCCTGTTAAAAATCATGGAGTTTATGCCTGCTTATGGCGTTGTCAGTGAAGCGAAATCAAACATAAAAATATATTAAAATCTAAAAGAACTGTAGAAATGTAAAGAAATTCAAACCTGAGGAAAACCTTGAAAAAAATGCTACTACATCTCATATAAAAACGGTACTCGTACTTTTCATGTCGGTTGAAGCGAGATCAATTAATGAAGAAATTCCTCAACCGGGTTTTTCTATGCAGCGTGTCGTAACTAATTCAGTTATTAAAATGTTATTGTTTTGTTGCTGCTGATAATTTTATGTTGCACGGAATTACTTGATGTACTTATACATGCCTTGTGTGTTTCGTGACCTGAAACGGCGCAATATATACGTTCACTGTAGTAAGACGGTCCTGGCATAATGCGATATTTCGGATGTATTCTTAATGTGACGATCATGCAAAATTTTTGTACTGTGCCTATATTTTGGCTGCTTAAATGATCCGTAAAACCTTCGATATTGTTTTCGAAATATTGTTTGTTGGCATAATTCTTTTACGTTTATGTGGATGAATCATGACAGCGTGATGTAGAACGTAGAGTGATGGCTTTAAGCGAGTTCTTGACTTCGTGGCTTGCTGCGCTTCAAGCGTTATATTGCTTAACTAATCTGCTAGTAATCACTGTGTCATTGTTCACGTTTTTTTTGTATAGATCTTTTTTGCTTTTCTCCTTCCATGGATTTCATTGTCCTTACGGATAGCCTGTTGTCTGAGTCCCATACTCACATAAAAGAAATATATAAGATTCTTTAGTTTTCGCATTACCATATATAACAACATTTTTCTTGGAATAATTTGTTGTTAATTCCTTTTTATCCTGATTTTTGGACCCTAATTTTCCATCCCAAATTTTCCCGATTTTCTCTCCCTCATTTTCCCGATTTTCTATCCGTCCCTTTTATCCCGATTTTTCACCCCTCCTTTCCCCAAATTTTTATCCCATCTTCTCCCAATTTCTGGAGCGTTCTCCCGTAATACACCATGACGAAGAAAAAGCTGAAACTGGAAGAGGAGCCGGAAGACCCCCTGGTGGACCAGTACGACCCCCTGCCCCCCTCCGCCCTCATCGACGTCCTGAAAGTCTCCCGCCGGATGCTGGCGGTGGTGGAGGCGGACCGCCGCGTCTTCCAGGAGGACGTCGACGAATGGCGCGAACAATCCACCGCCCAGTTAACCTCCCTCCAACGCCGCAGATCCCTCCTCCTGGCCATGCTCCACGACCAATCCGACCGGGCGGGCGACAAGCCCTACCTCCCGGCCATCTGGATCCAGTACGGCCGGTCCCCCGCCGACGCCCTCCCCTTCCGTTCTCTTCCCTTAGACCGCATTAAGGCGCTTCTCCGCCGCCGTATTTTAACGCGCTATCGGCATCTGGACCGCATGACCTTTGAGCGGGTGGGCTACCGGCGGCAGGCGGCGACTATCGCCCGCCGCCGGGAGGTGATTGTGGAGTATCAACGGGAGCAGAGGGAGCCGGGGGCGCATGTTTTCCTAACGGGGCTGCATAATACGTGGCTGCAGAATTTGCTGCGGCAGACGCACGAGATGATCCAGGGTTTGAAGGGGCATATGACGTTTTTCCATTATTTGCGTGATGCGGCGGCGAAGTTCAGCCGGTTGAAGGATTATTTGGCGGAGGATGCCGCGCATTTTGCCCGGATACTCGATGACCTTTATAACCGGGTAATTTAATACCATTTTTTAAAAAAATTTCTGCGTTGTCTTTGTTTGTTTTGGTTTAGATGGGAAAACGGTTTTTAAGTTAAAAAGCTTTTGATTAGTGTAAAACCTGCGCAGGCGATTGTTATGTATGCTGGCGAATGCCAAAAAAAGACAAAAAGTTAAAAACAAAAACAAAAAATAACAGATAAATAAAAAATAAATAAGGTGAAAATGAAAATAAAAATAACAGAAAAATAAAAAATAAATAAGGTGAAAATGAAAATAAAAATAACAGATAAATAAAAAAAATCATGAATTTATAAAAAAAAACTTATAAATTTAAAATACACAAAATTAGGAAAATATATAAGCGAACAATAAAAAAAATAAATTAAGTAAGCAAAGCGAAAATTGAATTATAACGTTTGCGGAAATTTAACTGCACGTTATATGAATTTTCAGTGGTTAAGACCGGTGCAGTTTCCACATGGCAGTCGGCAAGCATGCAGAGTGCAGACGCCATCCAAGAAATAATAATCTTGTCAATTTTCTATCAATGTTTTTGGAAAAATAATAAATTAATAATATGTGTTCAGGTGCGTATGCAGCACAAGGAACTGCACTACTTAAGCATGGTGTTCACGGAAGTGAAGCGCAGCGCGGTGAAGGCCAAACGGCAGTACTGGGACGTGATGTTCGACATCCGGCGCACGGCCATCCTGCGCAAAGCCATCATGACGGATATTGAGGACGCGCTCAAACAGCACCGCGACATGTGTGACCGGTGTATCCGGGATATACTGGCGATTAACACCAACATCCAGAAGGACTACGCCGACATTTCCGGGCTGGGACCGCGCGCTCCCGGCAACGCTATCTGTGTGAAACAGTATCCGCACGCCATGCTGGCACGACGGAAAATCAGTATGTTGAATAGCGAGAATCGGTCTTGACGGATTTATCGCGAGAGCAGTTAACGGCAATTATTTTTCACATTTATAAATTTATATTACTGTTCTTTAAGTTACCATTTAAATGTGTTTTTATTTTCCTAACCAATATCTTACTGAGAATTTTTATAACTTTTACAATAAATTTTCGAAAACCAGCGAACTTTGTGCTGCAGAATGACTTAACTAAGCGGTTACCTTTCGCATATTTGGCTAATGAGTCCGCTATACAAAGACTTCGTTTTGATTTTCCATGGTTGTTAATTGTAACGTAGTGCACTGGCTTGTCTGCGCGTTAAGCATTACATAAAGCGTTAGTGATACCTTTATGATAAAAACGTTTCGTTCATTAACATCTTTTTTTAGTTATTAATTATTGTAATTTTCCTTATTGTAATTAATTATTGTAATGCAATTGAAATTGTAATTATTGTAATTAATTATTGTAATTGTATTGTAATGTATTGTAATTGTAATTATTTAATTTTAATAGTATTAATTATTGTATGTAATTGTGATTTTTAATATTTTATTGTAATGAATTATATTTATTGTAATTTTGATTACAATTACTTACAATCACTGGATTTTATTGCTGCTATAATAACTTTCCAAAATAAATGAATGGTCAGCGAAGTGAACAATGACCTTTACCATTTTCTATATAAAAACCGATGCTTGCTTTTAATATTTTTGAATTTTACTCGTTTTCTATAGCACGAATGGTAATTCGCTAAGGTAATGTACGTATTTGCAGCAATCCACCGCCGTTTTCCCAAGAATCCGACGCCCCTCACGACACGGAACTGCAGCGCTCCTACATGATCCTCAAGGAGATGACCCTGGCCACCACCACCGAGGAGCTGAGCAAACTAGTCCGCAACCAGGTCATCCGCGCCCTCCACCTCGAATCCTCCATCACCCGCCTGCAGCACCTAACCACCACCGTCCTCCGCCCGGAGGAATCCCGTTTCGCCGCTGAACGTGAGCGCCACCGCGTCCTAACCGCCACCCGCCAGCACGCCATGTCCGCCGCCTACACCGCCGTGCAGACCACCTTCGAGGACACCGCCGCGGTGGCGCGCCGCATCATCACGGCGCAACGCGACAACGTCGACGACTTCCTGACCTTCCACGACATCCTGCACCTCCTCATCAAACGCGCCGGCCTCAACTTCGCCACGTACGACGCCGACATGCACTACCTGGACGAGCACCCGGGGATCGATGGCCTCCTGGACCTCACCGCGTTGACGCTGCACCGCGTCGAGGAGGGCCAGTTGGCGCCGTTCTTCAACCGGAACTGGGCGGTCCTCCGGGATCTGGTGGAGGACGTGGAGTTCCTGGAGTACCGCGGTGGGAAGCTCCCCTCCACCAATAACCGGTTGGTGTTCGACAGCGGCCCGGCGCATCCCAAGGCCGAGGAGGCGGAACTGTTGGCGGAGGGGGAGGCTATCCCGGGGATGGCGTTGCCGTTGAATCCGCGGTTCATCACCCATGCCCAGATCAAGGAGGCTAACTGGCGGATGATGGAGCGGTCGCGGATGGCGGAGCTCGCGCGGCTCAAGCAGGCGGCTGCTGAGTTCGAGGCCGACCGTAAGGCGCAGGCGCGCGCCGAGGCCAAATTGGCCGCTGCGCAAGCTGCTACGAAAAGCAAGAAATAGCGACGCAGGGAGATTGTTGCATTGGGCAGTGTGGTGGTTTCTGGGACGCTAGTTACTCGTGTAGAGATCTCTTGTTGGATCCTGCAGGCACTTTATTCCGCACATTTACTGCCACTGCCAATCATGGATCCGCTAGAATGATCCTCATGCATTTCGTGAAACGCGTACGTTACTGGTGCTGGTCATCGATACTTCTTTACAGTCTGCATATGCTCACCACAATTATAACGACGATTCGGAATAGGATATACGACGGATTGCGGCAGACTGTGTACATCACACTTGCCAGAAGACTTATTGTTGAGATCAGTTACGTTTGTTATGCTGTCAGACTCTGCTTGCTGCGTGCAGTATTGCTCTACATTGTATGTACCGCGCCTGATAGCCGTAGTACGTAACGTCACATCAGGTGACAGAAGTAGAGTGTGGATCAGTAAAGATAGATATATGCACAAATGTTGGCAGTTATTACGCTTTTTCCAAATGATGTTTCAACATTTATTACGCTTTCACTGGATCGAAAAAATCTAAAAAAAATCGACATTTCAGAACGTGATTGTCAGACTTATCAGTGCCATGCAACGGCGGGAAACATTTGCGGGCCGTAGTAGTTGAAACAGAACTTGCTAGAAGACTGGTCCACCAAAGCTACCCATCGCAGCAAAAATTGCATTGTAAGAATCACAAAGTAAAAGTAGTTATTCTACCATGGTAGTACACAAACCAAATTTTAGAGCAAGGTCATTGTAAATAAGGGTGGTCAGTTGCCGGAAAGAAGAAAGATCCAGCTGTAATGAACTAGTGCGACATTAATTAAACAAACTCGACATACGTTTTCTGTACGTACCACTCGTTAACAGTTTGATTAGGCTGTGCCCAACATTCAACGAACGTTGGCCAGCGCTTCGTGTCAGGTTTCATGTAAACTGTGAAGGTCGAATCGCACGGAGTTCCTTCAACCCACTTCGCACAACTATCTTTACCCTCGAACTTGTGGACTCCATACGGATAACGCCTGGAATCAAAGAACTGCATCAGGTAATGACCAAGGCGCACCGACATCATGGCGAACTTTCCGTCGAACTTCCAGATAAAGTACGGCCCATCATTCCAGCAGGTACAGTGGACGTAGGCGCTGCACGTTAAGGATGCCTGCGAATACGGTGTGGTGACGTTCTGCAGTCGGCCGACGAAGACGTCGTCCGCTTTGGGTCGCGTCTGCAGCTTGTAATGCTTTAAAAGAAACATTTCGCCGTGGTAATGATGGAAACACCGTACGGATCCAGCGGCGTAATGTTGTGTATGGATAAATAATGGTTGCCGTTATCCTCGCGTCGGGTATAGTTAAAGGGCATGGAAGCCGGGACTGTGTGGTCAGTGTGAATCGTTATGTTCCTATGCCGCCAGACGATCTGCGGCGCACCAGTGTCCGCTTCTTGTGTAGGAGCACTGCAAGAGAAGACGGCTGTTCGGCCAACGGTTGTGTGGACAATGCCGGGATTTAATGGCGGCAGATTGGGCATTGGTAGGAGGATGATGTCGTCTTGGATTTGCTGTTCAGCGGCCTGAACTAGCTGCTCAATTCTTCCAGCTGCAATTACAGTAATATGATTGAGAAGGAGTTAGACATTTTTTCCCAGTAGAATATCAGCTTTTTCGTTTTTGGCAACAGGTGTCGATCGAATGAGCCACCCTTTTCAATTCACGACAAAAAGATAGCTCGGTAAAGTGTCCAGTATTCCGTTCCATAACGGGCGATTCTGAAATTTTGTGTATAAAACTGATTTTGCAGCTTGGGCACAGAAAAAAAGCGTAAGCAAGTGTCACGTTCCCTCGCGTCTCAGTCTAACTGACTGCGGTCAAGTATAATCAGCAGTACGTCTGAAGTACACCTGAAGCTGAAGTACACCTGAACAAGAACGTGTCATTTTGATTATAGAGTACTATTGACTTCAGTTAAAGTTATACGGCTCAAGCCAAGCCCGCAAACGCTTCTGTTTTACATTGTACTGCGCTACCTTCGCACGCTTCGTTATAATCTGAATTTGTTCAGCTCGATTCACAGAGGTAAGAGCATTTCTAGTTAGAATGGAAAAACTAGCATGGGATCGACAAGGGTATGCCAGCTAAAAAACACCGGGTCTGTCTAATGGCATCGTCGACCATCGGACGACTGCGCTGGTCGACAATTCCACCAGACAGAATAAGCAATCGATTTGTCGTAATTTATGTACTGCTCTTCGCTTACCACGGGAGACGCTACACGTGAAGACGAAAGGCACAGTCGTTATCCAAAAGCAGACCACAGGAAAATAATTCCAAAATTCCACAGCGGATAAGGTCATAATATGTTGAAATCTTCTCGGTTAAACTACACATAGCTCAATATGGACTATGAAATGTTAAAATAATTACTGGAATGACTGAACGTATGACTGTAAGTAGAAACACTCTTTTTAAGCGCTTGTGTGATTTTGGACAGTGTGGTGTCTGTAGGATGTTGATTGTAGCGGCTTGCACGACCTAGTCTCAATCTTGTAGCGCTCCGCAGTGAGATTGTACCGTATGTGGTATGATTCTACAAAAACTGACGTAAATTGTCGAAGTCACTCCGATGCTTTTAGCCTAGTCTTACTACACATTATTCATCTGTACAGCGCCGAAAATGTAAAGACGTTAAAGCTAAAATGTAATGACGTTGTAGGGACATATCTGCACACAGTGTTGCCGAGTAACTTGGATTGATACTCGAAAGTCGTATGGAAAATAAGCGCGATAACAGGAAGCAGTCAGCATGAGTAGCGGTTGTTTCGTGAGGCATATTCCATTGTTATGGTGCAGTTGCGTAAAGTATCTTGCCGAACTCTTAGAGGTATTACATTGTCCACGTTCGTAGCGCCGGCCATGATCTAATCCTCATAAATGGGCCCCGCAATATTCGCTGACAAAAACTAGCCCCATAACATTTGGTCGCAGACATTTCGCCGCAAGGTCAACTCGCTGCGCGACGTTTTGTCGCCGGACGTTTAGACGGCAGGACACCACGTCGCAAGACATTTCGTAATTTTCGTTGCGAGGCCGTTTCGGTGAAGAGGCATTTCATTTGTCACTTGCCAGACAAATTTAATAATCTTGAATTTCATAATCATGGTTGTTTGTAGCCTTACCTGCGGCTTCGCGCACGACACATCAGGACTATGTACTGTTTGCCGACAAAGCGTCGTAAAGTACCTTACTTGACTGGATAGCGGTGGGAAAAATAAACTTCCTGGCGGATCGGTAGTGGACAACCTTCGTTGTCAAGTATCGACCGGCTGAGAAGTTTGTCATTTTCTTGTTGCAGTTTTCAAAATCGAAGGAGTGGATGTCAAAGCACATAACGCCGGGAAAGCAAGACAGAAATCCAGTCTTTCAGCATTTATGTCAATTTTTCCCCTGAAAGCGATTTTTCCATCCTCACACAGACTTGAAGAAAACACACTCTTACTGGAACCGATTGGTTTCGGAATTCTTCAATCGCTTAGACACGGAAGATTTGCGGCGTAATGGTTATAAACGTTTTGAAATATCCTATAAATGCTAGAATTTGAAGTTGAACGAATTATATGAGGTGCATAAATAAATAGAACGACAATGCCGCAATTGGATTCTACCTCCTAGCGGCACTAATCAAGTTACATACTACAGGTCTGTACTTTAATATTATTGAACCCCGTCATATGAAACCATTCTGTCATAACTTCTTCATGGGGCCGTGAGGGATCGATAAAAGGTGAGAAATGCGACTATGAGAAATTGTCTATATGGTCGTACACTTACAGTCTTGTCGTGCTGCGAAACTACACTCTATACGTGTGAAACGGTGTGATACAGACATTCTCCAAATGAGCGCAGTTGACCGAACTGCAGCCGGCAGCGCTGCTGTGCAACCCATAATCCCATTCTCCAAAAAATACGCCGCTGTGACGCCCCACTGGTTTCCGGCTTTCTGTGAGCCCTTACATATACCGGTTAGGACGTGGAAGAAAATTATTCCGGAAACTTAAACGCGTCCAGGAAATGGAAATGCTAAACCGTTTTCACTGTCTTGATGACGGTATGTACAGATACGTGTGCCTCTTCCTCTTCGTGGATTGATTTCAGTGCGCCGACCGGCACTTTACACCTAGTTGAAAACCTATCCTTGAAAACGGAACTTTTCACTTTGGGTCTTTGACCGTGTCAGTAATGAAAGCGGATGAACAATGCCGTCCTATGAGTTAGCAAATTAGACTTGAAATTCATTAACAACGATATCTCCCAGGTGGTTCAGATTAACGTATGTTGCCACATTTGCATGCGTTCTTGTATCAGTTGTTCAGGTAATATTTTAAAGAAAAGACTCGATTACTCTCGGCTGTTATCTGCACATTAAAGACATTTTCCAAATAACCGCAGTTGAACTGACTGCAACGCTGCTGAACAGCCGCATACTTACATATTCCAGCAAAGACACCGTTGTGCCGGTGCGCTAGCTGCCAGTGCGCCCGCAGATCATGAGAGCTGTGCGAATTAATAAACTCTTCTGAGCAGTATAACGCACCGTGACACGCGCCACCTTCCGCTTATAATCGATCTTCTGCATTAACGCATTATACATCGACAGGGCGCAAATTGTCGATCATCGAGTTGTCGTTCCAACAAGTTGTCGGTTAAACGTTTTGTCGGTCAGCAAAACGCCGCCAGCAAGATATCGGTCAGCAGCATAGCGGTCAGCAAAATTATCGGTGTGTCCTCCTTTACGTGCTTCTTCGGTGCTTCCACACTTTCTGTATTAAGCCGGCATCTCCACGCCAGTCTGACAACACGAAAAGCTATGCACAATTATAGCACTTCATATTGCGAGACTGCAGAGGAGAACCACACTAAAAATAAAACGGCAGCGGCATAACTGATGATGTCTCAGTTGACTACCGATATCCATTGTCCACGTTCGATCGTTCCGAACGGTTTTGCGTTTTCTGCGCAAATAGCAGCATGCTGTTGGAACAGATTAACCGGCTCTGCGGAGATCATACAGCCATCTACAGCTTGAATGCTGTCAGTGTAAATACTGTAACCTACTGAGCAAGCAGTTCAGAGAAATCGATTGCCGGCAATTCCGTAATTTTAATATATTTACTGGAGCGTTTCTGTTCACGCTCGCTAAAACACGTTTCTACAAAGTTATTATGCCATAATTGCAATTCCTGCAAGGATTTATGTAATGCGCGCCGCAGCTTCGGCCTCCGACTACGCGATACAATTAAAATAGAATGAACGGGCTAAAATGAACTGGACTTTAACTGGAAGAACCGCGATGTACAGTGTTTGAACATCCGCATGCCACGGAATCTCATCCGCGCCGAGGCGTGCGCACGCCTTTAGTTACTGTAATTATTAAGCCTGGGATAGCGAGTAATACGCACTCAAACGGCCTATTTATCAGGGATTGATATTACGGTTGGTACCACCGGTCCTGATCTGCTGTTGTGAGGTTTCCATCACTTCGTCCGCTGGGCCTCCACACAATGACATGGTGAAAAAGAGAACCCGGTGACTATAGGAGATGCGACATCTCCTTTATACCTCCGGGCTCTCCTTTACCGTCTCGAAGTATGCGATGCTGCGCTGCTGAATGCAGTTTTGCCGACCAAGGCGAGAATAGCAAGGGCAAGATTGTACCGATGGCACTCCAATCAATTACAGTTGATAAGCGGGCGTTGTAGTTGTCCACCTTCGGTCGCTGTTGTTAATTTGCGGCGTTGGCCAAGGAAATTAGTAGTTCCCGGAATCGCTTTCTCTTTCCTGTTGTCTGCGTTTGCCCGAAAAATAAATTCTTCCGTTCCCTGCAGTGCATTTATCTGTATGGCACATTAAAAAGTCACATTAACCAACAACGTTAGTAGAAGTGACTTATTATGTGTCGTTGTGTCAGTTCAACGGCAACAAATTAACGCTATCATGCAAGAAGATTTAGAATAATGCAGAGTACAGAATGTGTAATGCAATCTCGCTTCGTTATAAATACTGCTCTATCCCACTTTTCAGCGACTCTGTGCTCTGCGTACAGATTGTAGTGATATTGCTTACCAGTTTTAATACTATCAAAGCACATACTTCTCCGGTATAACGCCTTCGCCGTGACGGATTGATCGCATCCGTGATCAATAAGGTTGTGGATATTCAAGACCAAAGGGTTGGATACAGGATATATCCTGATATATCGCGGATATATCCTCTGATATCCAGATACATCCTTCCTTATCCAAAAAATATTTTTATTAAGCACTAGCCGCCAAATAAACACCGTGGCGCAGTTGCACTGACGATACTTTATAAAAATACGTTTTAAACATCAACAAAATTCATTAACAAAAAACGGTGTACTTTCTAAAGTGAAATAATGGGAGAAATGATGGAACATTAAGGGTGCGTGAAGGAGAAAATAAATAGGACACTGAATGAAAATAAATGGCATAATAAATGTTGGACAGGTGTAGGCGATATACGTATAACGAACTACCCATAACAATAATCGCTGTAGATTTTCTTTAACTATTGAACTAAATTTAAACCTAGCTTAACTATGGCAGTTAACCGCGTTCTTTTCAGTTAAAGCGAGCAATTGTCGGCACAGAAAATGTATCAATTCCAAATACTGATTGATTCAGCCTGATTGATTTGAGTTAGAATGTGTATGCAGTATGTATTGCTACCAAACAGTTTACGCCAGAAGTCAAATAATCAATACTGGCTTCTTTATCTTAAGCTTTTAAATTTAAGCGAAGCGAAGCGCTTAAATTTCCGGAAATCTTGGCTAAATTCGATTTATCAGTACGCAGGAGCCTTGAGGAAATTACCAACATAAAAATTACCGATGAAATCTGGGAACAATCATCCTTACCTGTGAGAGTGGGCGGTTTGGGCATTAGACGCACTGAACGACTGGCTACCGATCACTTCGGCCGTTTTCATTTCGGCAGTGCTCATTTCGGCCAAAGTTTTTCGGCCGCCACTCACTTCGGCCGCAGTTCACTTCGGCCACATTACATTTAGGCAGAAAGACGGTTTACCAAAACTTTTAATCTCCAACGTGAAACTAGCTCCGTTCTCGTTATACGCGAAATTTTGATCTGTTTCCAGCTTCATTTTGCACGCAAAATTGGTTTGAGCAGTTTTTAAAGTGTTACTGTCATCGTGTCGCCATCATGTCTCCCTTTCCCGGTTGATCAGATTAACACCTCGTCGACCGTCATAAGGCCGAATGCCGAAGTCACAAAGTCTGGCTACCGATCACTTCGGCCGTTTTCATTTCGGCCGCGCTCATTTCGGCAAAAGTTTTTCGGCCGCCGCTCAATTCGGCCGTCATTCATTTCGGCCGCAATTCACTTCGGCCAAAGTACATTTCGGCGGAAATAGGCGTTGCCTAAACTTTTATTCTGCAGCGTAAAAGTAACTGAATAATTATCGTTGACACGAACTTTCCTTCTATTTCTATTTCATCCTGCACGCACTGTTTTTCAAACAAATTTTGGAAGTGCTATTTTCACCAATGCACCATTATGTCTCTCTTTTCCAAGTGTTCTTATTAACA